AAATTGATGTGCTTGTCTTGACTGAAACCTGGCTTAAACCGCAATTGTTACTATGACACCCAAATGGTTACAAATCTGAACATAAACATTCTGTCCTCCAGAACTCATAGAAGTTAAATCATTTGAATATTTAGTATGTTTACTGACATGTGCACAAACTGCAACAAGAATTACTGTTGTATATCGGTCTCCAATATCAAAGAAAAATCAATTGAAGACGGCAATGTTTCATGATGAATTATCCAATTTACTTGGTGATTTCAAATTTCATTATGACGTTCAAACAATCCTGATACAGCCAAGTTACAGTCTCAGTTACTCACAAACAATCTTATTCAACATAATAGTTCTCCAACCCACAAGTAAGGTCATATTCTGGATTGGGTGGTTTCAAATGTTCCTGACAGTACTGTGGAAGTTGCCACTGTGTCAGATCTACAAATCTCGAACCACTTTCTGGTGTCATGTCTTCTTAATACCCCCCTCCCCGCCACCAAACCGTTGACAGAAATCAAATTCAGAAATCTGAGACGCATGCACAGTGAGGCTTTCCGTCATAATTTAATGACATCAAACCTTTTTCTTCATCCGCCATCTACACTTGACGAATTTGCTCTCAACTATAATAGTACATTGAGGGTTCTCCTGGATAAGCATGCTCCAGAAAAAAACAAGAAGATTCCGATCAGTCCTGATACGCCATGGGTGTACACTGATGATGTGCGATTACTTAAATCTGAAAGGTGTAGAGCTGAACGAAGATGGAGAAAATCCTCGCTGAAGGTTCATCGTCAAGCATATAAAGACGCCCGAACATGTGTTGGCAAGGAAATCAGAACAGCCAAACAGAGCTACACGAATTCCAAGATTGGTGAATCATTGAAGGACCCCAATGCTGTCTATAAATTAATGTTTCGACTTATGGGTAAGACAGACAAAGAAACAACTCTTCCTGATCTTGATGGATATCAGGCGATAGCAGAGACTTTCTCAAATTATTTCACAGAGAAGATACATGACATCCGAAGACAACTTGACGACATGGAGTTTGTATCATCAAGTACTGTCCCCCCCCCCCCTTTAGTTGAGTTTGCTGGTGTATTGTCTATTCGAAAAAAGGTCAAACCAACAACCTGTAAGCTCGGTCCTGTCCCAACGACAAAGATTTTTGATCATCTCGACCATTTTCTGTCCGTTATTACACAATTAGCTAACCTGAGTATAACCGAAGCGAGAATGCCAACAATATTCAAAACAGGTTTTAATCTGAGTAGTTAAAGAACTACCACCCAGTATCAAACATTTCGTTTATTTCCAATGTTATAGAACGTGCAGTTTGTCTTCGTCTTTCAGAACATCTGTCACTACACAATCTTTTCGAGTCTTATCAGTCTGCTTATTGGCCATTCCATTCTACAGAATCTGCCCTTCTTCGTGTGTCCAATGATATATGTACTGGTATTGACAGTGGCAATGCTGCTCTTTTGGTACTACTTGATTTGGGTGCAGCATTTGATAGCATTAACCGCAATAATCTACTTTCAAGGCTGAAAGATGACTATGGACTTGCTGGTTACACATTGAATTGGTTCTGGTCATATTTAACAGACAGAAGTCAAAGTGTTGCAGTTCACGATTGTGTCTCTACTCCTGTTGATCTAACCTGTGGGGTTCCCCAAGGATCTGTATTGGGGCGGTACTGTTCACCCTATACACTAAAGAATTAGGTTTACTTATTAGTGACCATGACTTTCTTAGACATTTTTACGCTGACGACTCTCAAATTTATGTCTATATTCAAGCCTACACCAATGTCAGCTGCTTCAACCCAATCAAAGTATTATGAACAAATTAAACTTAACGATGAGAAAACTGAAGCTTTACATCTTGGTCCTGAATCTAGACGTGGTCGTTGCGGTATAACCCATGTCCATGTTGGTAATCTCTCTGTTCCAATTTCAAATAGCATAAGAAATCTTGGAGTGATGTTTGATAATCTCAATATGGAAAAGCAAATTAACCACATATCGAAAGTGTGCCATCTCATTCTACGGAACATTGGGTGCGGCAGGAAGTATCTTAATGCTGATTCTACTAGGATACTGGTGTCCCCGTTGATTCTTTCCAGAATAGATTACTGCAATAGTTTTTTGGCTGGTGCTCCCAAGATCCAGAACACAGCAGCCAGAATAACATCTCTTGCTCCTCGTTACAGTCACATAACACCATTTTCTTCCTGTTAGTTACAGAATCACATTTAAAATTCTGTGTTATACATTTCAATGTTCAAATGGCATTGCCCCAAAATACCTGATTGATCTCTTACAATCCTACACTCCTGCAAGGACCTTAAGACCTGTAGATAAGAAACTCCTGGTAGTGCCTAAGCCTAAAACAGCCCGTTTTTGGTCAAAGGACGTTTTTCTACTCCGCCCCTACAGAGTTGAATGATTTGCCGCTGGAAATAAAGAACTCTCCAGAAATTGCTGTGTTTAGACCCAGACGTAAAACCTTTTTGTTTAAGAAAGCATTCACTTTATAAAAGTTGGGATCGTTTTTGAACATGCTCATGCATGGATATTGCGCAATATAAATAGACTATTATTATTATTATTTCTCTCTCTCTCACACTCTCTCAATTTCAGCACTCCGCCCAACCATTCAACCAGACAAAGAGCGGGTCGTTTATACCAACATAATGGTCCCGACCATGTGTTTAATCACCAAATTAGCACGCAGAGGCCACACCAAACGACTTCATAATGATGGTTGCTAAGCAGAAATGTAAAAATTCTAAATTTGTTTGATGTTCATGCTAAACGTATAAAGGGTCAATGAAGAAGACGTTTTTCGTCTAAATACTAGAAATAAGATGAAATGGAACTAAATTTACACTGAACAAATAAAGAAATTGGATTATACATTGTCTTAATTTAAAAATTACACGAATAGAAGTTGGAAATTACACGATAGCACGTTCGAATTTTGAATCTAATATGTCGTAAACAATGAAATTAATGTCGTAAATAAACAATTCCAAAACGGAAGGGAAAATTCCAAATAATGTATTTGCTTGAATCCTTGCACCTAAACTTGTCATGTTTGAAAAAATTTTTTTCACTCTTATTCTGTTGTGCGTATGTTGCCATGTTGGTCTAAGAGATGTTTTCCCTTGGAGTGAAAAAGGTTGTCGGTCTCAAAATAAGTGCTCACAGCAGTCAGTCTCAGACTAAATGAATAAATGAGGTAAACAAACAAATGCCGTATTTGCGTGAATCCGTGCACCTTAATTGCATACGTCACGCTACCCATGCAAAACTAGTGTATAAAATAACCTTGTCAACTAATCGTATTTGAAAAAAATGATTTTCACTCTTATTCTGTTGTGAGTCAATCTGATTAAAACACAGATCCTATTTCGTTTCGTTTTTATAGTTCAAAATTTCATTTTACTTGGCTTTACTACACTAGGATCATTGACTTGTTCTGAATAGTGTGAGGTATTAGCCAATGAAACGGTCTGTTACATAGAGCTTTATGTGTGTTTTGCACGGAACTGTGGGTAATCCACTAGTAACATCAATGCTGATTGGTTAAGCAAATATCTGACGTCGAAGGGTAAAAAGCCGCTAGTATGACCTCTGACGTGACCTATCGCAACAACCGGTCAGATCTTCATGTAGTGTAGGCCATCGAAAATATAATAGATCTGTATTTTAATCACATTGGTTGTGAGTATGTTGGTCTAAGAAAAATGTTTTCCCCCAGGGAGAAAAATAGTCCGTCTCAGAATAAGTGAAGTCACTGCAGTCGGTCTCATAATTATGCATCGGCGACGAAATGAATTAATGAGGTTAACACAAAATGCTAGAATAGAAGGGCGAAAATCTCAAATATTTAATATAATGTTGGTCTAAGAAATGTTTTCGAGGAAAATAAAATATTCGGTCTCAAAATAAGTGCTCACTGCAGTCGGTCCTCAGACTAAATGCATTAATGAGGTAAACAAACAATGCCAAAATAGGAGAGAAAAATCCCAAATACTTAATATATGTATTTGTGTGAATCCGTACACCTAAATTGTAAAGGTATAGTATAAAATAACCTAGTCAACTTGTCATGTTTGAAAAAAATTGCCTCTTATTCTGTTATGAGTATCTTGGTCTAAGAAATTAAGAGAGCTTGTTACGAAGATTTTTATATTTCAAAATATATTCTTGATTTCATACGAATAATATTAGTCGAACAGTTGATAAGAAGTTATCGGAAGCATAGTTTTATCTTTTGGATTGCTAAAAGAAAGGGCGAGTTTGTTTCAGAAATACGTAACCAGCGATTGACAGGCAAGAAACCGAGATCTTTGGGAGATAGACCTATATTTCAAGTTTCGTCAAAATCGGATAAATACCGTGCTACGACAATATACGTCCCCATGAAAATGTGAGCTTATAAAAAATCTTTAAATTATGAAACATTATTGAACTTAAGAATTTTTATTTGTTGCATATTCAATCCCAGCAGAAATATTAAATCGTATCTTACACATAAAAGCTTCCCCAAAGGCCAGGAAATGGCATTTCAGGGGTTTAGATTAAAAAAAAAACTAAGGGGGGGGGGGGACAGTTCATAAACACTGGAAATCAGATTGTAGTTATTTAACTGAAGTGTATGTATGAATAGTATTACACAATTAGCCTGGTACCGTGCCGTGTATGCACTAATAAGTTAGGGTTAGAACTTTAAAGATTATTCTATGTCATAAGGAAGCCAATGAAGTGATTTTAAAGGGATGATGATGATTCTTTCAGCTGTATTCCGAAGATTTGGTAGACGATGGATGTTTTCAACTGAGATACCTGCAAACAAAAATTGGGTTATCGGCATCAAATAACTTGTGAGTACATAGGCCTTCAAACACCGCAACTGACTTGTCGTTCCTTTAAACATAACACCTGTAGATAGATAATAATAATAATACAAGGTCACCCGCTATGATATAAATAAACTAGATGCACCACAAATGTTTTGTGCAACTGATTGTCACACGCCAGTCCTTGGTATTTCTCTTTGTCATTGTTGTACGTATATGTATTTTTTTTTATTCCTTTACTTTATTATATAACCCAGTAGATCTTTAGGTTATATACCTTCGCATTTATACAATGGTAATACTTTTGGAGGAAATGTGTCTTTTGCTAGCACCATAGTGCCCTTTTATGCCCTTTCAAATGATACAAAACCACAACCAATTGGAAACACACTGATTTTTACAAGTTTACTTAAATTCGTACGGATTTATTGAAATCGCTAACTTTTTATTATAGAGTGTGGGCCTAGGTTGTTAATATGGATTTGTCGGGCAAAGTGGCAGTTGTTAGTGGATCGACTACAGGAATAGGATTGGGCATCTCACATCATCTAGCATCTAAAGGTTGTTCTGTTGTTATTACTGGACTTGGTTCACAAGATTTAATCGATTCTGTTTTAAAAGATTTCAGGGGGTAAGACATAATTATATTTTATTATTCTGGTATTAAAAGTATGTTCTTACGGAAGCGTGTTAGAAGATAATTAGAAGCAACTGCTAATTAGGGGATGCTAAGTCCTAATTATGAGCGAGCGAGAGAGAGAGAGAGAGAGAGAGGGGGGGTGCAGTCTGGTAGAAGACTTGGTGTGAGAGAGGTGTATGTAACGTGTAAAAGAGCTATGCAGGTGTGAGAAAGGTGTGTATTGTGTATAAGAACTGTGTGCTGTATAAGACAGATCACGGTGCTTGAGGTGCCTTACTAATGTGCATTACAGAAGATGATGGTTCACACAATGAGAGAGACGATGGGGAGGAGTGCAGTCTGAAAGAAAACTTGGCGTGAGAGAGGTGCATGTATCTATCTATGCAATGTTAGAGAGGCGTGGGTGTGTGGGTGCAGTGTGAAAAGGGTGTGTATTGTGTATAAGAACTGTGTGTTGTATATGACAGATCACGGTGCATGAAGTGGGCTTGTCTACGATATCAGCTTAAGCGGTGGAAGTGGACATAACACTTCAGAAACGAACGAATGAAGTGGGTTACTCATATTATGTGTATTACAGAAGATGATGGTGCACGCAATGTTTAGTACAGTATCTCCCATCAGGACTTAATGAGACCAAAGTTGCCCTTGCTCATTTTGTAGAAACTTGTGAGAGCAGTGAAAACAACAGATTTATTGCACGCGATTATATCATAGAACACGTGATATGGACGCGTGATGTAGCATCTGTTTTATTTGAATTTTGTACACGGGAGTGGTTTGTTGACATGACATAATTGTATATATTGTCAACGGACAAATTGTTTATCAATGGTATTATAATTAAATGGGATTAGTAGAACAATAATAATAATCCCACTTTAATAGTTTTTCATTTTGAATAAAATATAATTTAATCCATGGCGTTAAATAATATTTGAATGCTCGGGCTTAGAATATTTCTGTTTTAAATTTAGTCGTCTATTTTCATGAAATGGAATTAGGGGTGCGAAGCGGTAAGCGATAGTGTACGTTGATCTGATAAACGTCAAATATGTAACCTGTATGTAATGTAACGAATTTTGTTATGGATTCCTTTAATTTTTATGGATTAAAGCATTAAATTTATTAAAAAAAAATTAAAATTTGGTTTGAAGCATTGTTAAAATGTCGTCTCTTTGTTCCGTCCAGGGGATCACGTGGCTAAGTGGGTAAGACGCTAGCTCGCTAGCCTGGAGGTCGGGTGTTCGATCCCTGCATTGGCCGAAAAAGTTCATCCAGATTTTCTGGCGTGGTTCTCCCTTGTCAGTGACGGAGGGGCTGACAAGGAAAGCTGTCTAGTCGTTTGGATGGGACGAAAAACCGTGTACACATTGGCGTGCACGTAAAAAGATCCCTTGGCAGTTGGAATTCGATATAAGAGTAGGCCGTAGTGCCGCTGTCCGGGCAAAATTTCCCTCCATCCGGCAGACTGTGAGTCAAACAATTTTCAACTTTGTCTGTGCACGCGTGGCTATCCTTTTAAAATTGTAAATGTATGTGAGGTGTTGTATGATTTCTTTCTATTGCAAATAAGTATATGGGGCCTTTTCTTTTTATAGTAAATGGAGTGGTAGGGATTGTTTCTTGTATTTCGATGGCTTTGATTGGATATAACAATACGCACCTTCTTCATAGCTCAAATTCATAAGAAAAACTGTTATGCGTTCAGTAATGAAACAAGAACGCAGCAATGGCTCTTGCGCGTGAGCGTGACATGACGGACACTACCGATCTTGACAAAATCGCCGATCGGTGGTCAAAATTGACTAAGCGCGGACGCTTGATGAAAATATGAGGACATAATCATATCTTTGTAAATTATTGTATATTCACCACAACAATCTATCGATGATATAGGTCCATGTAAATGATGTAATTATCACTTATTAGAAGTTGTCACAGATTGACAGTACTTTGTAGGTTCTTGCAAAATTCTTAATAAATAACATGAATTCCACTCATGTTATTAGTGTTTTCTGACCATCAGAATTCTGCAAAATCTTCTCCCAAAGTCCAGGGAGAGCATTCCCCTGGACGCCCCTGGGCAGATATTGGTATTTAGCGGGTGTTGCCTGCTTTCTGTCTGTATTAAATACAGGGTTAGATATTGGTATTTATGCTTTCTTTTATAGTAAATACAGAGGTAGATATGAATATGTAGAAGGTGATTTAAGAAAAGAAGACTGTGTTATAAGTCTCTGTGATAAGGTTCTTCAACTATTTCCTGGTGGTGTTGATATTCTCATCAATAACGCTGGTGAGTAGTAATTATATAGACTTTTAAATTTGCAAAATTCTGATGGTGTTGATATACTTATCAATAACGCAGGTGAGTAATTATTTTATACGCTTTTAAACTGTCAACATGCCGATGTTGTTGACTTTCTTATCAATAACTCTTGTTAGGTGCAATTTTATACTCTTGTAAACTTTCGCCAGTGTCAAACAAACACAGTGGGTCAGGTATGCCGCAAATCGACTCTAGCAAACCTCCAAATCAATATTAACCATAATATTCGAAATTAAAATCACGAATTAGAATTCAATATTTGTCCACTTCAATTGGTGTTGTCACCTTACCTTGAAAATATCGGTTCCTTTTCCTAATATCCAATATTTAAGACACAACGAAGATTTTTAAATCAGCATACTACGTCGTGTACTCTATAATGGTTTCGAGCACCATTTGTAATGAACAAAGAAAATTATATCTCAGAAGTCAATAGACAATGCGGAAGTAATTATAAATAGATGAGTCATAGTTATAATTTATAAGTATGTATATAATTTATAAGTATTTGCTATCTAACAGCTCAAAAATTGATAAATATTTTTACAAAATTCATTTTGTTACAATAGTTCCTTGAATATTTTAGTGCTGTACTATCATTATACCATCATTCTCTTGACCCAAGCTCCACCTAATCCAGGTCCATCCAACATTCACAACCATGATCAGTTGTCTATTTGTCAACTTAATATTAGAAGTTTGTGGCACAAATTAGATTTTCTAGAAAGTTTTCTATCCGATTTCCATGTAAGTTATATGTTCCACAGAAACACATCTAGATACTAGCATAAATGATAGTGGGGCCCACTTTGATGATGCCTATATAATGTTTAGAAATGATCGGATTAATCATACGGGTTGGGATTATTATTTTTTATACATAATGATATTGTTTGTGAACATTTCTACTCTTTAGAGTTTCATTCTAAAATCATTTGATGAATGCTTACTCCGATATTTTTATCATGCTGCCATACCTATTATTCAATTGAATCTCCCGTTAACTAGCTTTTTATCTTTAACCCATATTGTTAGGTGATCTTAATTCCAATTATTTTAACCTGCGAGAAAATATAAACACACGTTGTGTCATGCATAATCTTAATATCCCTACTAAGTAACTGAACCATCACATACATTATTAGATCCTATACTTATTTCCTCGGGTACTAGTTATATCACGGAAGATATTCAGGAAGTTCCTATCATTATTCCAGATATTTTACTACTTTTATTCATCTTGATATCCATATCTATGACATTGGAAGTTTTCGGTGTAAAATATATTTATATAAACTGGCAAATTTTGCCAGTTGAATCATGATATATTTAATATTGAATGAGATGATAGTAATTAAGGGTACGTTTCCAAGCAATTGGAAATTAACTCAAGTAATTCCTCTGCACAAAATAGGTAACCGAGCAGACTTAAGAAATCATAGGCCAATTTCTCTGCTTAACATTGTTTCAAAACTATTTATCAGCATATTATAGACTTTTTATTAAATAATAATGTGATATTATGTAAATTTCAGTCAGGATTTCTGCCCGGCTTTTCCACAATACACCAACTAATTGAGATGTATAATCATACCGTTTATGTACCGCGTTAGATAGTAAACAAATTACAGCAATAATACTTTGACAAAGTTTCACATAACGGTTTAGTCTATAAAATGTCTAATTACTTGAGCTAGTTTCCAGTTGCGTATCAAATAGAAAACAAAAGTTATACTTGAAAACTGTCATTCGAATGATTTATATCCCAATGCCGGGTCCCCACGAGGTTATGTACTTGGTCTGCTACTTTTTCGTATTAAAATAAACGTCATACATGAAGGTCTAATAAATACATCTAGATTATTTGCAGCGGATACGTCACTTATTTCCACTAGTGTCTATCAGCAACATTGAAAATAACTTAAATTCAGATTTAGATAGCTGCTCTACATGGTCAAAAAAATGGTTGATTTCTTTTAATCCTGAAAAAAACACCCTTACTTATATTTACAAATATAAGCATTTGCTATCCATTAAATATCAAATTTCATAAAACCTTTTTTCGTGAATTCATATTATCATAAACATTTAGGAGTACTTTTTCAAAGTGCTTTAAAGTGGAATTTTCAAATTGATAATATTATGTTCAAACAAGCACTATTTAAAAAAAAAAGCAAAATGTAATTAACACAATCATTCTTAATGAATTCTATAAACACGTTATTAGGATGCATGTCAAGTTTGGAATTAATATTCATAAATTAGAATTATTACAACTTAAAGCAGAAAGAGTTGTCACAGGATGCTCAATTACACACCAAGATAAGTTTTATATTTCGAAACTGGGTGGCCAAATTTAACAGATCGCAGAAAACTCCACAGACTTTGTTTATTTTGGGCATTGGTTCTCCCTTATACTTCTAAGATTTAGTTCTTTCTGCCAATAATATACCTATAATCTAAAACGTCAAGATATTATACCGATTCCTTTTTGCTGACTAAGTCTAAAAAAAACCATTCCTTTTTCCTAAAACCTTTTCTGAATATAATAAACTATTCACTGATAAAAAGAATGTCAATTCATATATTTCAATTTCAAGAAAACTATTTCCATGAAATATTCCACACCCCATATGGAAACACTGGTGTACGTAAACTAATTCTTCATGCCCAATTAGCCTTAATAATGACCTTTTTTAATCAAATGATACCCCAAATATGTTTTTGTTTAACATTGGTAAAAAATATACAAAATTACCTGTATTTTTTTTTTTAAATATCAATTATACCGTTCAAAAAGATGCGCTAATGTCCGATATTAATTATCTTAATAATGTTCCTTTGGGAGAAGATTCATTTCTATAAATTGTCCCAATCCCTTTGTAAATTATTTGCAATAAAATATTTCTAAACAGACAGACATGAAAATGGAATGCTATTTTGGAAGTATATTTACAGGTATTATCCATATCAGTGACGTGGAAGATTATCCAGTACAGAAATGGAATGACATGGTTGCAATTTCATTAACTGCACCCTTCATATTTATGCGACAGTTTATACCAAAGATGAAAACCAAAGGTAGACTGTAGAGAGTATTTTATATAAATATAGATACCAAAGTATCACCCAATCTTTACTTTAGAATAAACAATGAGCAGTGTCGAAGATCTACTGTTCTGTTTTCCTAGTAATTCGTTAGAACGCAATAGAAGTAGGCTTAATCAATAAATATTTGAATTACTTAAAGCGTATATTAAAAGTTCATGATGAATGTTTTTTAGTTCACAACAGCCGAACAGAAAAAATAGGTGAAATGTCTTAATTAATTTTTATACGCCCACATTTTTATGTGGACGTATATTGTCGTCGCACCTGTCCGTCCAGACTCTACAGCTCACAATTTTGATTTGATTTTGACGAAACTTAAAATATAGGTATATCTCCCAAAAATCTTGGTTCCTTTAGATATTGGCATAAATCAGACCATAACTACGTGGATTATGGCCTCTGATTGTACGCAAAATCGCGTTTTAGCTTGTGGACCTTCTAGAGGTCACAATTTATATCCGATCTTGATGAAACTTAAAATATTATATGCTTTTATCCCAATATCCCTTTTGACGGGCCGTATCATCCTAGATTATTACCCTTGATTGTACGAAAAATCAACTTTTAGCTTGTTCTCTGTCCATCTCTTGCAAAATATGTGCGTATCTTTCATGCCAACCTCTTGTTTTAATTCTTTGTCCCTGTCTTTCATAAATATATAACCTTACAATCAAAATACAGGTAAGAATAATTCTAGAGCCACTGATACAGAAAAGAAGTAAACAACGTCGTTTCCATATTACACTGTGTAATGTGTGTGATTCTATTTAAATGTACATTTACTTGTATGCATGCTGTCCATAATGAATAAACATCTCATTGACACATCAACCAAGTAAAACTCTACTCTCACGCAGCTTGAACTGCCATGGTCTTGTGGGGTTTTATTGGAACATGGGTTTGACCAGGTCTCTATAGGTAAGGCACCACTATCTGGTGCGCAGAATTTACAGATTATACGCGATACTGAACCTATTGTGATCTTGCATTTATTGTTATATTAAGATAATATGGCAAATGTTGGATACAGTGTACTAACGCTAATGAACACAAGTTGGATTTCAGCTGCGTTCAAAACATTCACAGCATAAACAAATGAAGAGCCCCGGGACAGAACGATCTAAGTCACTTTTTCAATGAACCCCAGTTAATGGCGCCATCTGGTAGCAAATTGTATAAGCTTTCTGTGGAACAATCAATTTCAAATAAAAACGATCGGAATCACATCGAACCAAAGCCCTTCTGAAATGGCCTCCCGGACAAATACAAGTCCATCGTACCCTTTATTTGACCTTAATTTGGCTGAAAAGTGGAAGTCAGTTGTTGTACTGGTAATTATGAATCGTATTAAACATCATTTTGAAGTTGTAATTAAACCCACTTGTTGTTCTGTTCGCATCAAGCATTCTCGTCCAAAACTCTGTTTTGCCTTTTATGCGAAAAGACAAAAATGTGACTTAGATCGTTCTCCCATTATATGTGTCTGAATAACCCAGTTGTGTTCAGGGTGATCACTGCCATTCATAGCAGAATTCAAATTTGTTTTATAACAGGTTGGGGGCGCATAATCAGTATGTCCTCACAGATGGGTCACGTGAGTGCACCAGGTCAAGCGACGTATTCAGCTGTTAAATCTGGTCTCATTGGTCTTACTAAGGTAGGCGACAATATCATCACACACCATCACATTTTTCTTATGCTTACTGGTTGTCGAATCTTGGATTGGCGATGTTCAGATTGAGCACACTGCGGAGATGCGAGTTTATAATTAGAGTTTGCCCCAAGTTGTAATAAAATGAAATGAAATGAAATGGGGTTTAGCGTCTTACTGTTCTGTTCCGACTGGGCTAATGAAGACGGCAGGTTGTAATGAAAAACGCGTATAGACTGTTTAGTGGATATTACCCTATTATCGATCCATCATCACCATCATCACCATCATCCTCAACATCAGTAGCAACAGTAGAAACAGAGCCACTCCTCCTCCTGTGCATCACCATCATTGGTCGCAGCATAATTCTGTTAATGCAATCTGTCCTTTGCCAATAGACAGTAACTCCTGCGCAATGAAAACGATATCAGAAGATTTTAGACAGTTTTACAGGTCATTTGCAGATGAGACAAAGTAACAACAATAATCAATCATGTTTGAACTACAATAGGATACTTCGTCAAATGGTCAAAGTCGTCATTTACGACCTATTATAGGCGAAAAAAGCAGAATATTTGTCAAATTGCGAGTCAGATGAAAAGTTCGGATACCAGTCTCAACATCATGGCGGGCTATGCAATCCAATCTTTCCGGTTCCATTCGGAGCTGTTTTCACACGATTTCAATGCAGACAGCTGAAGCCTGGGTGTATTCTTTAGTATCACACTGGTGCGCGTGAGAAATGAAGTCGGGTCCGTATCGATCCCAATGCGAAGTTTTTGTTGCCACTGAATTCTGTTCCAACCTCGTCCTTATCACAATTTAAATCAGATCATTTCTCATTATTCACTTTATCTTTTTGCTAGGCAGATTCAAGGATGGGGTGGGTTTGTTAGGCGAAACGACGCATCGAATTACCTTTTAGAAATATTCTCTGATACACTAGGAAATGGACCTTCGATTTTCTCCCCACAATTTTGTGCTACTTGGGACCGCCCTTCGGCCCACCACGCCCCTAGTCCTTTGATGGCGTAAATGTTAATAACACCTTTCCTATGGCACATCCTCGGTAACCCTAGTGGTCTCATTCCGTTCCACTCCACTAACCCCTAGGCTCATCCATGGGGGAGACACGTATTTAAATTATCTATTATCTATATATTTGTGACTGTCGTTTGTCTGTCTGTCTGTCGGTCTGTCTGGCTGTCTGTCTGTTCGGGGTTGGCGGCTACACTAGGTCTGCCCCGAGTCTGAAATTTGGGGTAAAGGGGTAGCTCGGACCGGGAAGTAAATAGGCCAGGTGGCGTTAGTCTACCACTTCCGGTTTCGGAGTTATGACCCCCGAGCGAAGCCGGTCTGTTCGGGGTTGACGGCTACACTAGGTCTGCCCCGGGTCTGAAATTTGGGGTATAGGGGTAGCTCGGACCGGGGAGTAACATAGGCCAGGTGGTGTTAGTCTACCACTTCCGGTTTCGGAGTTATGACCCCCGAGCGAAGCCGGTCTGTTCGGGGTTGGCGGCTACACTAGGTCTGCCCCGAGTCTGAAATTTGGGGTATAGGGGTAGCTCGGACCGGGGAGTAACATAGGCCAGGTGGCGTTAGTCTACCACTTCCGGTTTCGGGCGAAGCCGGGTATCCTGCTAGTATGACATATAACTGTTAATGCTATCTATCGTATATTTCAGGGTGTAGCCCTAGAGTTAGCAGCACATGGTGTAACTGTAAATGCTATCTGCCCGGGTTTCGCTGATGCGCCCAGTAAGTGTCTATATTGCAAAGGGACATAATACCAAAATTGTAATCACATTTGATGACTGGTTAGGGATTTGTATTGAATTTAGTTGTCCGGTCTGCTTTGATGTCTGCTGTGTGATCGCTTAGGTTGACTAAATTTGAGTGATCTGTTTGGATGCAAGTTTTGTGATCACGTTGGTTGACTGAAGTTTGATGACTGTTGGTGAATTTCTTTGCGATGCTAGTTGTGAGATCTCTTTGTATGGCTGTTGAGTGACCGCGTCCGTTGCTTGCTTTGTGATATCCTTAGATGACTGCTGGGTGGTCTCTTTTGATGTAAGTTGTGTACTTTCCTTGGGTGAATGTTGGGGGATCTTTTTAGATTCCGACTGTGTGATCGATCTTCTTAGATAGCTATAAATCGTGATCCCATTGGATGACGTTTAGGAGTTTTCCTTGAATGACTGGTGTGTGACCCAGATTGGAGTAGGGATATTGCTGTGTTTACATCGTTTTGCCGTATGTTTATTGACCTCTGTATCACAAATTGTTTCAGTGACATTTAGTAATTGGATTGGAATATACAGGTCACAATTCTATGGAATAGGCAGTAATTGTATTCCATAGAATTGCGACCTGTATCATAATCGATCTTTCGTCTTTCGACGACATGTTTGATGTGATGTTTTGGTGTTATGTAGGACAGGAGAAGGCATAGACTTACTGCCATTGTTCCTTCCGACAAGATGAACTACCCCCCCCCCCATAGTTTGAAATAATTGTACATACTGCCAGGGGCGGATTGGGCCATCGGACGATCGGGCTGGTCGGACAAAAAACGAAAAAATAATTTTGTCCTTTTTCTGCCGAACATTATATGGGGGATGGGTGGGGGTGGGGTGGGGGTATTGGACCGACCATGGAGCGATGATGATCATGTTGTATGTGGCCGGTGGCTTTAACGGGCCGCCACGCCATCACTGGAGTCTGGAATGGACTGGTATAATAGACTTTTTGGGCCGGGTGTGCTGGGTGTGGGCCGGAATTCGGAATCTTGCAATGAGGATTCCGAATTTCATCCGAAAATGTCATCGGATTCACCCGACACTGTCGCCCGCAAATTTATTAATTATTAAGTCACCTACACCCTGTTTGTGGGGATACGTCAGAAACGTCTGCCGATGGTTCGTAACTCCCAAAAAAAATTCAATTTTAAGGCCTCAGCAAAATTTGATGATAGCTGGTCTGCTGGCTGAATATGAGTGCGAGACGATTTCCTGAGGCTGGTGTTAAACATTCCTTGACATTTTTATTAACTCGTTATTTTCAGAGATGAAGTTACAGAATTGGGATGTCGGGAATGGTCTCAAATTGCGGGAAATGGCCTCCCATTTCCAAAAATTCAAAAATGAATTGTGTCCCTTACGCCTATGCATGTCCGCTCCCACTCCGTCAAGGCCACCTGTTATACGGGACATTCAATGAAATATTCCTACTTATTCAATATTCCTAACTGATTAATCAAATGGTCAAAATTTTCTTAACTAGTCCCATTTTTTAACCAGTTAAATTCTCTTGACTCTTGACTCTTGACGATACAATGATAATACGTTAATTAATAATATGACGATATGATAATTTCACAGGTTGATGGTTGTAAATTACTTGCAGTGCGGGGTTTTGGCCTAAGTTAATTGATTTATGAGATATATTATTTGACAGAGATTATCACACTGATTGATCCGCAGTGAATATTTGCTAGGCCGCTACAATCACTGATAAGGATGACATCGATGTGGCTTAATGAGCCAGAAATATTAACTTTTTTCCTGCGACAAATTAAATTCTAAAACATTTTTTTTATGTATTGGAAAAATAAATAAAGGCGTTTGACGTATTTGTAGGTAAAAATTATTTCCTATTTAGTGTAAATGGGTATTAAAATGACTAAAATGCAGCATTTTCTCCGAAGCAGTAACGTCTTATGTAAACAATGCACGCGCCATTCAGCCAATGATTGACGCCGCGTGCTGTGACAGCACGTGTTAAGGCAGTCATCTTTGACAGAGATATATCACTAGACTCGTAATTCTCTGTGAAACAGATTGAGAGATTATAATCAGATATGCCACCAAATCGCATATTTGGGGTTCATTTTTCAAAATTTTCAGGAGGGAGAGCCCCCGGACCCCCGTCCGAACTCCGCGGTCAGTAAAAAGGGCCACTCCGACACGGGAGCCCGGGCCAGTTCCCGGCCCCAATCCGCCCCTGCATACTGCTTTAACCTGAAGTAAATAAAAAATAATAAATGACTAAATATCGTATATTGACGTAAATATTATGAAGTGAAATTTTTCCAAATTTATACTTTTATAGTTTTGTTACACAGTACTTGAAATTATTTCTAATTTATAAACGAAATAGTCATAAGTGAAAAGTATATAAATTTTATTGTTGGCGTATTATGTCGTCTCCTATGAATATCCGTCGACATTTAGAGGCTACAGATGGAAACGGGTTGTATTATAGCCCACGCGTAGTTTGGGCGCATATCGTCAACCTATCCGTGGGTCCGTATGTCAACAACTGGCTACAACTTTCCGTACCGGATATATCCCCCACCCCTCTTGTCGAAAACCTTGTGGGCATGATGGAGGCTATGGTTTTTAACAAAGAAATTTAAAATTTTGTGTGAAGCATTGGGGTCATGGGAGAATAAACCTTTATTGATATTCAGCAATCTGCAACGTATTCAAACCTTTTTACCGCGATAGAGGCTACAGTTTTAAACATTATTTCAAATTTGGTGATGTCGGGACGAACCCAAGCGATATGAACGTGATAGAGCCTACAGTTTTTTAATAGACGTTTTTCAAGTTTGGTTTGAAGTATTAGGAGCGTGAGAGGACGCTCCGGAGTTACCCCCATTTTCAGAAAACCAAGTGAATGGGATAGAGACTTTAGCTTTTAACATATTTTTATACACCCACATTTTCATATGGACGTATTATGTCGTCGCCGTGTCCGGACGTCTGTTCACTTTGTGGACACACTACATGTCACAATGTTTATAACCCAAAGATCTCGGCGGTGAATTGAGGTGGATTTTATCACCCATCCGAACGTAACATATTGGATTATTGACCCAGATTGTACGAAAAATTGTGTTTTTAGCTTGTGGAAACTCTTCCAGTTACGATTTACATCCGATTATGATGTAACCTAAAATATATCTCAAATATCTCGGTTTCGGTCAATTTTGACTCGTATGGATTATTGTTCCTAATTGTACCAAAAATCGTTTTTATAGCTTGTGGACCCTCTAGAAGTTGCAATTGTTGTTAAACACCTTTCAAATATGTTCATGACACAACTACATAGCCGCCATAATGAATTTAGCGTGACTATATAACGTTGTTTTTGTGTTGGGCTAACCTTGTATTTGGTTTAATCAATATTTTATTCAAAAGCTCGCCTATGATAGCTCTTAACATTCTAATGTAACGAGTGTATTTCAGCTCAACGAGTTTGTGTCCAGGTCGTTTATATTAATTAGTATTTGCATTTTGTTTTAAGTGTTCCATCGATTTGTAAAAGTTGCAGCAGGGGAACAGAAAACAAGTTATGAAGATGCCAAGGTAAATAATAATATGTTGATAATTTAATTTCTTTTATAGTAAGTTCAGGAGGACCACATCACGTAATTACACAAATCAAACCCACGGAAAAAATGTTTCAAGACGCCACTATTTCCATTACAAATATCTATGCTATGGCGTATATTGACGCCAATATTATACGTTTCAATTTTTAAAAAGTGAAAATTTCGTATCAAATTTGTTTGTCTTTAAAGATATTAACTTAGTACTTTTAAAATCCGTTAAAATTTGGTAAATTAAGTCAAATATATCCAAAATAGTTCCGATTATCCCCCCTGAAATTAAAATGATAATAGAAATTGTGACTAATTGATGAATTACATACTGTAAACTTAATTTGTCTATAAACTATATTGACATGGAAGTTAATATTAAATTTCATTGTATGTATCTCATTATTAAGAGAATTTAACAGATTTAAATATTGTTGAAATTGGTTTGTATAATAAAATCTATAAACCAAAAATACCTTGATACGAGTATTGTGTTTGGAGATTTCCTTCTATCTTTTATAAACCAACACATCAAAGCTAGAGATTAATTAAGATTTTGCAAATTGCTTCGAAATCAGCCCATAATATATTTAATATAAAGAGTATATTATTCAACAGTACAATAAAAGCTTTGGGAATATTATTACAATACTATCGTATTATTAATTATCTCAAAATTATATATGTTTCAAATTTATTCATGTGTAAGTTAAACTGGACAATATCTGTCACTTTCCGCCTGTGATCGCCTGACATTAATCCTTTCATTAATCCTTTAAATATATCCTTTATATGTTTGTATGCTATTGTATTTTTACTTCTTTAATTTGTTATGCCATTTTAATTATTATCTTGACGTCACTTTTGTTTTAATTAACGGATTGTAACTTGAATACATTACCATTATCCTTAATATACTTGAGTAAATTTGAAAATGTATTCCATAAGTATACTGAATATGACGATAGAAAATTTATATTTTGAAGGTGTGGAAATAAATCATTCCACCAATAGTTCAACATTCAAGCAAAACCTTACGACATGTCTATATTGTGGTTCTCGGGGTCTATGCCTGACAATTAGAACGTGAAATCAACCCGCATGCTAGTCGGTAGACATAACGTTATGCTTATTTTCCAATTGTTAAAATGACCGCGAAATTTCAAAGGACAGAGAAATTAAGTACACTGTTTTCATCTTGCAGGGACTTAATAAAATTTGAAGTACATGTATGTTGAAATTGTATTGTACCAGTTGTGTAAAGATCAAACTGGTTATGGGTTGTTACTATACTTCCTTACTTAAAAGGGTTTTTTTTTTTGTTTTTGTTTTGAAACCCATGGAACAAAAAAATATTCCCTAAACCCAATCATTTATACCATTTAATCAATTTCGTTAATCTTTATACCTTTTGGGGGGAATGGTGAGCCGTCTTGGAAACACGTGGACAGAACAGAATATGGGAATACAGCTAAAATTTATATAAAACAAAATACGTATTATAGGAAATTACAACAAATAATCTGATTTATGAGCCAAGGACAAAAATACCGTTACTTGGCCGCAAAAACAGGGTCAGCCGGTCGGAAAATCTATTTTATTTTTGTTTATTATATTTTGGTAGGATTTGTGTTATCTATTTCATTGTATTTGTAGCTTAATTACTGGGTACAGTTCTTGAAAATAATACCGAAATTTCAGTGTAAGAATTTGTCTAGAAAAAATCAAAGCTTGTATAGGGCCTGGGAAATGGGGGAAAACTGTTTTGGGGTCGGCTATTTTGGCCATAACAAATAGCGTCGATCGGGTAAACGTAAACACAATTGTTTTTTTTTATTATTTTGGCCTAGTTTGAGTTATGAGGATTGTTTAAAGATACATTAGTTAAGATTTTAATAGAATTGGCCATTCTTGATATAACAGTTCAAAAATAGATGATGAAAAAAAGAAAATATTGAAAATTTCAGTAAAATTACCTTATTCTGAACGGAATTATCACTATAGGAAGTTTGGACTAGAAATAGGCCTCAACTGTCTTCGCACCGTCTCCGAGAATTGCCGATCGTTTGATTGACAGGTGATAACTCAACCCATATATTCTCGATTAACAAGTGACATTCTCAATGGCTACCCTCGATTGTCAGTCCTGTCATCGACAGTGTCTGATAGTGACGTCAGTGATTAACGGTAAAATGTTAGCTTGATCAGCCATTTAATGATTTAATTATTAAATGGACGACTGTTTAAATCAAAGCTGTATCCGAGCCACCCGAGGGTCTGCAGGGTTGATTTTGGGCTCATAGATAGTGTAAATAAAGGACCAATTAATAATTTCTATAACATTTAAAGCCTGTATAAACTTGCAATAAACATATTTGACGCTTAACTAATGTATCTTTAAGCTAGTTGTATACCTTTAAATTTCAGGTCCAATATTCATCCCAGATTCCAACAAATCAGTTAGTAACTATAGATCAGGTAAGTAAAAACACCGTGACAGGAATGGTGATTTGGTTTAAACACTATTTATTACTAAATATTGTATAATTTAAAGGTATAAATAATAGGATACAAAAACAAGCCATGTAGGCTTATATTATTTCCTTTTGGGTAGGGTGTATAATATCTGTACAATTTCAAGTAATATATGATATAGGTAAAGAATAATTACACTATTTTAGTTATGGTACAAATAAGTAAGTAAGTAAGTAAGTAAGTAAGTAAGTTTATATAAATAAATAACAACCAAACAAAAAAAAATTCCTCACCACAAAGTTGTATGTTATGACAGGGGAGAATCACGCCGGAAAATCTGGATGAACTTTTTCGGCCAATGCAGGGATCGAACACCCGACCTCCAAGCTAGCGAGCCAGCGTCTTACCCACTTAGCCACCGTGATCCCCCAGAAGGTGTTAAATAGTTCAAATTTGGTGTGACGCACCGTGGTCATGAGATGACGAACCACATATCGATTGTCAGCGTTCCGGGATTGGCTTGAAGCATTGGGGCCATCGATTCATCATCCGGTGCCTTGCGTTCCTGAGTTGTCCCGAGTGACGGATCACGAGATCGTCGGGCCCTGAGGCAGCGTAGCTGTCGGGCTCCAGTATCAAGATGACGCCTTAGGGGGTTGGGGTCACTTCCGCTCCGCCCTTCCGTCCCCCCCCACCCCGGGTTGAAGGGTGGGGGTTCCACCCCTGAGAAATCTTTTGAAATTTCGACCTGAAATGGTGGTCTGTTGAGTATATCCCGGGCGGTAAGTCCTATACTTAGGTCTAGGCAGTTAGCGTCCTTCTAGACTAGTAATCTGAAATTTCAAAATTCATCGAAAAAAGGCCACTTTTTGTCACAGTTTTTGGGAAATGGGTCTTCATTATTTTTTTCCACAAAATGTAAAACAAATATTTTTTGGTGACCAAATCGCCGGGTGTCTTGACCCTAGGCATATGCCTCTCTTGCCCTCGCCATGATCCGTCACTGCCCCCCCCCCCCACCGACCGAAAACCGCGTGGGCGCGATAGAAGCATCGTGGTCGTCGTGAGAGGACGAACTCTATCGATTTTCAGCATTCCGCGACTTACAGAACATTAAAAAACAACAGCCTTCAAGGGGCATACCTCTTCTACCGTAACCAACCAAAGCAATACTAGCTCGTCCACCGTGACTAATAATAAAATATTGTTTTATTTTCTGGTAGATAAGTGAGATGGTGTTATATCTGTGTTCACCAGGAGCCTGCAACGTCACTGGTACAGCTTTATTGATAGATGGTGGTTATACAGCCAGATAAAGAACGTCAAACATCCACCAAATAACATTTAGCTGTTCTAATTTGAACAGCTGAAAATGGAGTCAACCGTATTATATCGTAAAAATGATACAACATAGTAAAAATATTAACGAATATGTCAAAATTTCCTCTAATTCATGGTATAGAGAATATAATGGTTATGCAAATAAAAAAAGTAACTTCTTGTCAGAAAGCTTAATTATAAACGTATTGTCAGAAATTGTGATAATATATCAAAGCTTTTAAATGATTATTAATTAGTGTCATGATAAAGAATGACTTTCAATATAATAAATCAGTTTTATGATAAAAGTTAATTTTCAGTATTTTGTTAATTACCATGAGGAACCTAAGCTATTAAACACTAACTCACACCCCGACAAAATGTCACCCTCTTCAAGTTAACATCATATATTTATTATTATAAGTTAAAATGGGGTTTCTTAAGCTACACATCCCCTGGGATTAGGGGCTGTACGCCCCCGAAATCGCGGAAAAAGTCCATTTAATTCAAATTTTTGCGGACAAAGTTAATATACTTATTAATTACGTATGTTAAGTTAAAATGGTTAAAATGGGATTTCTTAAGCTGCACATCCCCTGGGTTTAGGGGCTGTAGGCCCCCGAAATCGCGGAAAAAGTCCATTTAATTCAAATCTTTGCAGACAAAGTTAATTTTCGCTACATATGTTCACGTTGCTAAGACAAATTTTAAAAGTGCTCTTCAGAACAAAAAATCCCCTGGCTTCTGGCTTCAGAACTTCCCCTAGTGACCCGAGTACGTAGGTTTATTTCAAATAAGACGGAAAACTTTCATTCCTTTTTCAACTGATAGGGTATGGTTCCAAAGTAAATAAAACACCACTTCAGAACACATAATCCATGGGTTCCTATCCTACTCCAGAACGGGCTCCAAGCTGAACACATCACAAAATCCCGGTAGAACTGGGAGAAGACAATCTAATTGGGGAGAAGACTGATCTGTTCCAAGTATGGCGGGCAAAATTCTTCTTTCGTGAGAGTGGTGCCACAGTTGACCTAAAAATAAAAGGTACCCTTCAGAAGAGAATATCACCTGGTTTCTGTACTTCAGAATTGAACACAACTAGTTAGTGCTAGTTTACGTATCTGATTTGGGGGGTTGGATGGCCGAATGGTTAGCACGTGCATGCTGTATCATAAGGCCTGTCATAGAGTCATCTGGCGTGGTTTCGAATCCCCGGTTGTAGGTGACAAGGAGTAGGGTCGCCTGTCCAACCTCGTGGGTTTTCCCCGGGTCCTCCTACTGATAAAGACCCCTACGCGCAAGCGAATTATTGAAATAAAATTAAAACCATATGTTAGTCCCGAAATGACTTAATTTGTGTCGAGTGGACGTTAAACCTCATTTCTCTCTCCCTCCTTATCTGATGCCTGAGCCGGATAAACACCCGTTCCAAATTACTAGATTCGAAATTCCAAATTCTTTACAATCATCATGGCAGCTGCAGAGAAGATAAGTGTCGCATACTTAGTTGTGTAAAATTACAATTTATTTAAATTCTAATTTGTTTAATTGAGTGGGGCTGCCAATTTGCTATTTCATTAGTAAGACATGAATTTGGAATTTCGCATTTGGAATTTGGAATTTCGAATCTAGTAATTTGGAACGGGTGTTTATCCGGCCCAGGCATCAGATAGGTAAACTAGCACTAATTAGTTGTGTAAAATTACAATTTATTTAAATTCTAATTTGTTTAATTGGTGGGGGCTGCCAATTTGCTATTTTATTGGTAAGACATGAATTTGGAATTTCGCATTTGCAATTTGGAATGAGCCTTCTGGGCTTTCGTAAAATATACAGTATCACCAAGGCATCTTTAAAGGGGCTAAACGCCTAACTCAGTATTCGAAATTAGAAATTGATATTTGTCCATTGCTGACAATCTGATTAAAATACAGATCTATATTTCGTTTCGTTTTTTTTTATACTTTCGATGGCCAACACTACATGAAGATCTGCTGAAAGGTCGGTCAGGGGTTGTACGAGCGGCTTTTGAGCCTATGACGTGAGACATTCATTAATCAATAAGTGTTGATGTTTCTAGTAGTTTACCCAAAGTTCCGTGTATGGCACGCCAAGAAGTCCCCGTAACAGATGGTTTCACGCCATCCAGAACGCATGTTATATAACAACTCTTTCAGATCACCGTGTATTACAGACAAATAGCAGTGGCTGCCAGGCAGGATACGCCAACATTTTGCAAGAGATGGATAGAGAACAAGCCAAAAACAAAAACGATTTTTTGTACAATCAGGGGCAATAATCTAGAAAGTTATGGTCTGAAATGCGCAAATATCAAAAGTGACTCCGATTTTTGGAATAAGATATGTTTTAAGTTTCACCAAAATCGGATAAAAATTGTGACCTCGAGAAGGCCCATAACCTTTGTATTACATACTTATACACAATTTGCGTATAAAGAGAAGCCATGTCGGGCAGTTTCATTTCGATATTCCCGAAACTCCAATTCAACCTTCATCATGGTGGAATGGTGATATATCTAAACAGTTTTTAAAATCGGAAAAAAAATTGTGACCTCTAGAGAATCCACAAGCTAAAAATGCGATTTTTCGACCAATCAGGGGCCATAATGAAGGAAGTTACCTGCGGGTATGTGTGATTATCAAAATGCACCAAGGTCTTTATGATAAAAACATATATTTAAAGTTTCATCCAAATCGGATAAAAACTGTGGTCTCTAGAGGGTCCACAACATTGATATACCATATTTTTACACTATTCGCGAACCAGGGGCGGTCATTATGTCCGCCAGTTTTTGTCCGATTTCCATGAAATTTGAACTCAACAATCATTAGGGTGTAACGGTGATATATTAAAAAGTTTTTTTAAATCGGATAAAAATTGTGACCTCTAGAGCCCAGAGGGACCCAGTGAGCCAGTCGTCGGTGATTGGAGGGGCAAAGCTGGGGCAAAGTCCAAGGTTAAGGGGGCAAAGGCATGAGCTTTAGCTAGGGGTAGGGGGCCTCCCCCAGAAAATTTTGAAAAACAGGTTGCCGGAAATGCAGCCTGGCAGTATTTCAGGCACTGATCGATGAGGTAAAGTGTAAAACGAACGGACTTGCGAATCACGACGAAGCCCACACAAAGAGCGTCAAAGTAGGGAGTGTCCCCCAGAAAATTTTGAAAAATAGACTGCCGGAAATGCTGTCTTACAGTATTCGGTCAGGCACCGATCGTCGAGATAAATAGATCTGACCAGATACCGTCCGTCGCCTGATCACTAGTTTATCCGACTAGAGAACAAAATGTCAAACGAACGGACTTGCGAACCTCAACGAATTCCCCTTGTGAGCGTCAAAGTAGCGAGTCCATTTAGGACCTCGCCAAGAAAATTTTGAAAAATAGACTGTCGGAAATGCTCTACAACATGCAAGTTTATGACTGAGTGGGGATGTGAGATTTATTCACCGTAGAAGGTATTGATTACCGAAACGTATCACAAATACTTTTTTTTATTTTCTAAAATTATGGGGGGGGGGGGGGGGCAAACAGAGGGACCACAAGCTAAAAGCGCGAGTTTTTGTACAATCAGGGGCCATAATTCAGGAAATTACGATCGGATATGCGCGAATATCGAAATGAACCAAGATCATTGTGCTATAAACGTGCATTCCAAGTATCATCAAAATCGGATGAAAATTGTGGTCTCTAGAGGGTGCACAATCTTGATATACCATATTTTACACTATTTGCATACAATGGGCAGCCATTTTGTCCGGCAATTTTGGTCCGATTTTCACGAAATTCGAACTCAACTATCATTAGGGTGTAACGGTGATATACCAAAACGGTTTTTTAAATCGGATAAAAAATTTGACCTCTAGAGGGACCACGCGATTTTGTGTACAATCAGGGGCCATAATTCAGGAAGTTACGATTCGATATGCGCGAATATCGAAAGGAAACAAGATATTTGGGTTATAAACATGCATTTCAAGTTTCATCAAAATCGTATCAAAAATGTGACCTCTAGAGTGTCCACAATTTTTCGTACAATCAGGGGCCATAATCCATGAAGTTATGGTCCGATACATGCCAATATCGAAAGGAACCGAGATCTTTGGGAGATAGACCTATATTTCAAGTTTCGTCAAAATCGGATGAAAATAGTGACCTGTAGAGTGTCCACAAACAAATTGTGGACGGACGGACAGGGGCGACGACAATATATGTCCACATAAAAATGTGGGCGTATAAAACCGAAATTTTAAACTATAAAAAACGAAACGAAATAGGATGTGTTTTAATCAGATTGTTTGTCTGAGGTCCCTTGGGTCTCTTCCTCGGGAGCCTGGATTTAAAAAAAAAAAGACTGTAAATGGTGCTTACTTGAGTATTTCCTGAGTAAAAGGGTCCCCAAATTCCACGAGAACGTACAATAACCATTATACTCACAGGCTCCTCAGTCCATCCCTGTTTGCGCAGCCATTTGAATTAAATACAAATGTATATTTTTACAATATGTGAAACTTTTCAATATCATTTTACCTAATAGATAACAACTTTTCTGGCATATATTGCCGTCATACCATATTGAGTAACTGTAGGTATGATTTTCATGTGTGTCTTAAACCTGCAGGTAGATCACCAACAGAGTTCAGGAGGGGGTTGGGATGGTCTAGTGGTGTCGAGTGTCGCGTTTCGGGCTCTAGCTGGCGTCAATGCTGGCTTGCGGTCGTGGTTCGTATGTATTTGTTTGTTTGTCGTCTACAGGCCGCATTTTTTAACGTATCATCTCGAAATTTTGCATACTTATTCCTTATACCCTAAGGAACATATTGTTTGTGGTGCATGCCCAACCCCCTGCAGAGCCAAGCCCATTTTCTTTTTGTGTGTTTGTGTCGCTTACAGGTCGCAATTCTTATTCGATTGTCTTGAAAACTTTTCATACTTATTCCTTATGCCCTAAGGATGACCTCTATTAGTTTTGGTGCATGCCCGACACTGTGGAACAGACCCACACCCAATTTGTGTATGTGTGTCTGTGTTTCGTCTACAGGCCGCAATTCTTAACAGATCCTTTGAAACTTTGTATACCTATTCCTTATACCCTAAGGATGACTCCTATTGTTTTTGGCGAATGCCTGACCCCTAGAGACAGAGCCACACCCATGTTTTCTTTGTGGCTCTATGTATTGCCTACAGACCATAATTCTTAATGGATTGTCTTGGAACTTGGCATATATATTCCTTATAGCCAAAGGATGGCAACTATGATTTTGGTGCACGTCCCGGTCCCAGGGACAGAGCACTGCCCAATTTTTGTGTTTGTCATATACATTCTGAATGGATCAGCTTTGAACTTGGCATATGTATTCCTTATAGCCTAAGGGTGGCAACTATCAATTTTGGTGCATGTCCTGACCCCCAGGGGCGGAGCTGTGTTTAGCACCTGAAGGCCACAATTCTGAATGGATTATCTTGGAACTTGGTATGCTTATTCCTTATACCCTAAGGACGGAAACTATCGATTTTGGTGCTTGATTCCCCCCTCCCCACACCTTTGGGCGGTGCCACACTCGCTTTTTGTTAATATTTTATCTGTAAATGTTATATAGGCTGCAATTATTAACAGATTTGGATGCAATTTGGAATGATCCATCATAGGGTTGTACCTATTTATTTTGGTCCATGTCCATGTCCAACGCCACACCCAATTTTTGTGTATTTTTGTCTACAGGCTGGAATTCAGAATGAATCATCTTGGAACTTGGCATATTTATTCCTGTAAGGATAGCAACTATTTATTGTCCTAACCGCCAGGGGTGTGTTACCACACCCACTTTTTAGTCTGTAAATACTCTACGTACAGTTGCTATAATTAACAGATTTTGTTCAAATTCAGCATATCAATCATTTCAATAACAGGGTGGTACCTATTTATATTGTTCCAAATCCAACTCCCAGGGGCAGAACCATGCCATATTTTTGTATTATCATCTACAGTCTGCAATTCTGAAAAGATCATCTTGGAACTTTGCATATTTATTCCTTATGCCGTAAAGACAGCAACTATTTATTTTGGTGCATGCACTGACCCCCTGGGGCAGTGTCACACCCACTTTTTTGTTAATATTTAGTCTCTAAATTTGGCCAAACAAACTCAACCCCTAGCCTTCTTTGCCTCTTGTCATATTACAGTAATTGCAGCTATTTCATATTTCATTCTCTTCATTTTAAAAAGTACCATATCAATGAAAGCAGGAATGTGGACGTATATTGCAGCGTTAGCAATTCTCTAGTTAATCAACGGAGCTAAAGCTCTTTGATTTCAGTTAAAACAAGCCATCAGTGTCCCCCGCCAAAATCCCAAACATTAATTAATTGCACATTAATTGAGTGATCAAACTGATCATTTATGCTTAAGTCTAAGCAGAAAATGTTCACTATCAAACTCAGGTTTTGAAGTACCCGGTAGTGAAACTATACGCTAAGTTTCATCACTCTCCATTAGTTAGAATCAAAGTTATCTTGTCCCAAAGCTCTGCTTATCTTTCATGGGAAATATTAATCATTGAACTCAGTCAAGGCATTCACCTAATGAACAGCTATACCTCAATTAAAAGCAGAGTTGTTATGTTCCAAAGTCTTGACCAATCAATTTGCTTATCACTACTTAGCCTAAGCAGAAATTTCTCATCATCAACCTTAGTCAATGTATTGATACAATGAACTATACTCGGAGTTTCATCGCTCTCACCCAATTAGAACCAAAGTTATTCAATATCGTGTTCCAAAGTCTCAACCACGTAATATGTACACCAATTTTGAACATTCTACCTCAATTAGAAGGACAGTTATTGTGTTCCAAAGTCTCGACCAATCAGATTGAAGTCTCTACTTCAGCATCGAACCTTAGAATCAAATTGCTTATCTCTGCTTACCCTAAGCAGAAAATGCTCATCTTCGAACTCCTAATAAACACCTACACCAAGTTTGAACATTCTAGCTCAATTAGAAGGAAAGTTATTGTGTCTCAAAAAGTGTGACAGACATCCCATTTTAATAGTTCCCTGCTTTCTTCGAAAGGCACGGGACAATAAAGTATTAAATTGGGTTGAAGTGATGTGTTATTTCGACTAGTGATGGAGCAAGCTGTATATCATTTAAACTTTGTTTGGAAAGATCCAGCAAAAGTTGATTGGTTTGGAAATTTTAGTTGATTATATCTTAACACAGGCTTTATCTACCGGTAATATCTATAGACCTAAATTTTAAAACAAAGGCAGATGGCCATTCCATAAAACAAATCAACAATTAAAATTAAATAAAATCAACATTTATATTTTGGTCTAGTCTTTTAAAATTATAATGAGTTACCCCCCCAATATGGATTCCGCTCAAATCATTTATAGCATTTTTCTATTTTCTTTCATTTCATTTGTCTAATAAAACTTATTCCACCTTGTGGATTACTCTTAGAAACCTTTATACTAAATCTGTACAACTATCAGAAGCCATGTGGTACTTTTTTGCAGAAATAAGATACAAACTTTTAGTAAAGTTTCTATGTGTTTTTCGTGGTACATTTAAGTCCCCAAATTTGATGCTATGTTCACGTGTCAGGATGACCATGTCTACATACATTTACATAAGTTATAGTGGTATGAGAGTGTTGCTATTACCAGGTTTTCCATAGCTAAAGAAGATCATTTCTGAACAGCAATATTTTGGGCAGGAACTTTCAGAAAAGATATTTGGGCGATTTCTCACTTTTATCAACGAATACCCTGTGAGATGTGGAACTGCCCTTTTAATGATTAACAAATTTCACAACTCAATGTATATGAATTTCTTAATCAAGTCCCAGAATTGGCTTCTATATGTTAGATCCTCATAAATCAAATTGAAAACTCTGTCTCAGCATGCTTAGCCCCTGACTAAGTTCATTGGGCAAACACAAATTTCCACTTCTGTAGATCTATATCTTTCACTAGTCTAAAACTTTGTAGGCGTAAGTAACATAAGTTCTGTTCTTTTCTTGAGAAACTGTCATATTTTTCTTTAAAACATTCTTTTAAAAACACTTTAATAGTTTAAATTTTTTCTTGGTGTAAAAACTATCTGGCTACCTCATAAACACATCTGTATTTCTGTAACTTGAACGATCTCTGGAATAAACAATATTTCACTAAATGACAACAGCTAAATATTAATTTTAGAGCCATGGGTTCCTATATGTAAGCCCAACTGTGAACCACTCCATATAGCAAACAAAAAAAAACATAGATAGGGGCTTATCAGGTCCCTTATTCGCCCACCAGCAAAAAATCTCCCCATCTAGCTCTAAAATCAATACCTGTATTTCGTTCACAAGATATAAAAGTTATTAAATAAATGAGGATACAACTCCATTACTCCAGACATATTGATCAAAATATTCTGAAATTCAATAGTGTTCTTCCTTATAAACAATCCCTGAAAATTTTAAAAAATCTGTTAAGAAATCTGACCTGTAGACTTACAGTGTTTGCAAGAAATCTAGAATGGACTATATGTGGGCAAAGATCTAGTATAAATGATAAACTTGGTCAGATGAAATGAAATGGGGTTTATCATCCTACTTTTCTGAATCAACTGGGCTAATGAAGACAGGTATACACCAGGCAGTGTGCTATGAGTGAAATTTTGCCCGGACAGTGGCCCTATAGCCTACTCTTATATCGAATTTCAAGTGTCAAGATATGTACATGGGACCATGGTGTTTCGTCCATTCCGAATGACTAGACTAGACAGTCTTCCATCCTGTGCCAGGAACTTTCTTGGTCACCACTGGGAACAAACCCTAGACCTCCAGATTGGTAAGCCAGCATCTTACTCACTTAGTTCTACGACTTCCAAATTTGGTCAAAGAAAGAAATAAGTTTAATGCTAAATCAATACAAGGTCAATTGTAAATTTTGATTGCTCAATAGTTGGGATCTACGGCAAAGTTCTTTTAATCTTTGTTACAAACAATTGTGGGGTCAATCACATTGTAACTGGCCAACACGGCACCATCATATGAGTCAATATGGTGGTTGTTTCACTGAATCTGATACTTCGATAATGTTCCTTGATATCCCTCAAATGTTAGATCTCCAAGCTTACTTTAAACCATTCGACCACTCAGTCCTCCTCTATCCCTCGTAGTCGTAATATCCCCAAACCATAACTAAACCATTTGGCCTCAGAGTACCCCCAACCCAAGCCATGTAATATTCCTCAACTTACTTTAAACTAGTCAGCCAACCGAGAAACCACACCCCATCCCTCAGGATATTCTAAAACTTAAACTTACTTGTAATATCCCATAGCTTATTTCAACCCAGTCGCCAAACCCAGAAGTCCCACCCCTCCTGATATCCCAAAACTTAAACTTACTTTAAACTATCTGTGTGACATTTATATTCCATGATGGTATTTGGTGGTAAATTTAAAATTCTTTTTAATGTATCTCGTATTCTTGATGTGGTCACATGATCATTAGCGGTTTTATTCCATAATGATAAAATATCTTCCTGTAAAAAAAACCATACACTTAACTATTAGAGAAAAACATTGTTTTTTTATATTATCTATATTCTATTTATTACCTTGTATTATAGCAGTAAGCTTAAATCTTTTTGTCTTTAATTAACAAATTAAAACATTGAATATGGGCAATTGTCATCCCCTTCCCACAGCAGCTAAATCGTCTGAGCAGTCGACAAGGGTTGTCACATATTTATTCTTTGTAGGTACATGTAATAGGAGCATTTACAAGACATGCTGCCAATTACATACAGAACAGATGATAACTTTTGCCAATCGAGAATTCACAAGGTTCAACAAAATAAAACAAAGGCCATAACTGTATGGCAGTATTAGATTCAAAATCCTAAATTTGTTAATGTCATGCTATTGTCCAATTTCTAACTTCTATTCATGTAAACTCTAAATTAAGACAATTTATAATCCAATTTATTTGTTCAGAGTAAATTTTAATTATTTCATCTTATGTCTATTATTAAGGCAAAAATGTCTTCTTCATGCTTTACATGTTTAGCATGAACATCAAACAAATTTAGAATTTTGACATTTCTATCTAGCAACAATCATTATGAGGTTGTTTGTTGTCGCCACTACATGGTAAATTTGGTGATTGAGCACCTGATTGGGACCATTAGGTTGATATAAACAACTCGCTCTTCGTCAGATTGAATGTGGTGCTAAAATTGGAACAGCATTGATCAAGATATATATTTCAAAATGCTATGTCAAATACATGTATGCTATACAACATTTGTTTCTTTTTTTTTTGAAGACAAGTGCAGGATTTGGAGAATTTTGAATCTAATATACCGCCATATACATATGTAACTGTAGAACTTAAAGGACAATGTTGGTGTTCGCCAATATTACATGTGATAGACCTGGTTAAATTCATTCCAAATATAATTTAAACACAGAAATCTATGCTATGGTTGATCTGTAACAAAGATTTGAAGAATCAGAAAGTGAAGCAAAATAAAGAAAACACAAGTTATCTTTATTACTGAAGTAGAGAGCGGTAACAGTTACTTAGTCGATTTTCAGCTCAATGATAAGTCTGTTGGCATCGAAAAGTTGTTATATGAGACGGGAGAGAATATTTGTACATAAAAAGAATCAACCATCAAGATAAGGGAATGCAAGAAAAATTTAAAAAGTCTGTGCATTCCCTTGTTGTTTTTAATTCTCTATTTACACATTTTAAGCAGTAATTATAGTTTATTCCGGCAGCCCTATAAATATAGATATACTCAATAGGTTGTCAACTCACTATTATACGATTATAGGTGTGATTCTCACACTTAAAACTCATATACACCGGAAATAATTACACAATTACCTCCCTTGTTTTCTATTCTCCACCATGTTTGAATTTGAAGAGGAAAATGATATTTTTGCCAATTTCTCAACTGGCAATAGTGAATTATAGGATTAATAGGATTATTCTTTAACAAGGTAGGGCTGTTTATAGATACCATCTATTTTAAGGCTTTATTTTAATACATTTTAAAAATATAACTTAAAAATATGAAATTGCAACTTTAAGCCCTTTTGTAATTTTCAGAGAAATTGGAGTATGCCAGTTTAGTAGTAGCCCCGGCTTCTGAAAGTGACGTCTGATTCAAAGTAGTGCTTGGTGTTCTATACGAGGTAGGATACACACGTACTCTTTCCAAAAGTACCTTATACCACTTCCCATGTTAGTTGTTCACATAACCCAACCAGTTTTTGTTTTACATTTGTATTATGTTACAGTCAATGTCTACAATCAGGCAATGTGTACAATGCCTTTGTAACTCTAACCCTAACCCCCACCTCAACCCTTACCCTAACCCGGCAATGTACACATTGACCGATTGTAGACATTGACTGTCACATATATAAATACAATTTTTGATACATACAGATTGTGAGGTTTGCAGGTCTGGAAAACAAGCGAAATTCCCATTCTGTGCAAATCTGATCAGAAGTACACAGAAATCCAAAGAAATATTTTTTTTCAATGAACTTATTGGCAAGTAATTTTAAACTAAGGGCCGGTTGAGATATTAAATATGAATGCAGTATTTGATGAATAAAGATTGCCTAATTGCCATTTTAGAGCACAGGCCAAAATATGATTTGTAATACACATGGCGGAGGCGAAAGTAACTGTCACCATAATAACATTGGTAGGGCTTCCTAAATAAACTATAATTATCGCTTGCAATGTGAAAATACAGAATTAATAAAAACAAGGGAATGCACTGACTTTTTCTATTTTTCTACCATTCTCTTATCTTGTAAAAATTCTTTTTATGTACATGTATACTTCGTTTTAAACAGATATCCTCTAAAGGTCTCCTATAACAATTTAATAGAATTATCAGTGAGCTGAAAATCGACTGCCCATGTAACTGTTATCGCTCTCTACTTCAGTCTGTAAGGAGTACTCATGTTTTCCTTTTTTTGCGTCACTTCCTAATTCTTCAAATCTTTGTTACGGATCAATTGTAGCAAAGATCTCAGTGTTAAAATTATATTTGGGATGTGGTCAGTAAGGTCTATCACATATATATTGGCTGATGCCAACACTGTCCTTTAATAACAGAAATTACTGAAATTCAATAGGTTTCTTTGTTTTACTAATCTAAATAATGCACATAGATTTAATTCAGATCAGATGATAACTTTAGTCGTTAGAGGGTCCACAAGGTTCAACAAAGTGAAACAAAGGCCATAACTCTAAAAGTAGCCTCTCATGACCATGATGTTTATAACCAAATTTAAAAAGAATCTGTCAAAAACTCTATCAAGTTAGTTAGGGGGTTTTAGACACGATAGAATTTCATTAAAAATTTATAACTTTTTTTTTTCAAATGGCTATATCTCCACCAATATTTGAAGTAATTTTAGACTTTGTACTCTTTAACATATATTTTTTCTAGATTTTAATGAAGGAGTCGGTTTCACACCACTGGTTCACTTGACATGGAATCACATAAGCCATAGTCATACGCACATCAAATACTGATTTTATTACAACTCTACCTGATAACGAATTGATATTACAGCTCCACAAACTTCTCCTCCGACCATAAACTGTTCACCTAACATGGCTAAAACTAAATTTTCCCAACATCGTGATGCAATTCCTTTCTTTAAACGTATAATCCATTTACCACCTGCTTTATTAGCATCATCCTTTAATAATAACATCAATACTTTACAAACATCATCATTTAATAACTACATCAATACTTTATAAACATCATTTAATAATAACATCAATGCTTTATAAACATCATCCTGTAACACTGTGAAACTTAAACTGTTCACTTACGAACAGATGACTTTTATTTATTAAGTCATCATTACTCTAAGCTAATCTTTAAAGATACTTTCCAATGTACAAACTGTGTGATTTGATGATATATTTGGACTAAAAACATATTCAAACTAATTAATCTATCAAAAATTTGCTTCAAATCCCTCTCAAAACTTTGCATTCGTCGGGAAATACTGCAAGCCATAAATAAACTGTTGCTAGATGCCATGTCTGTCAGCTCAATTCCTTGAGGGAGGGTCCATTTTTCAGAATGTATTTTTTGTTACTGACTGTATTTTATCATACATATTGACCTAAGTAAATTCTTGATTATTTTCTATCAACTATATTTTCCGTTGTTAATTGCAGGGTCTTTTGTACGTTGGCGCCCCTCAATGTTCCCCAAAGCGCTTAACCATTTGATCAAGAAATAACAACCGCCCCCTCAGTCAAGCTAGCACACAATAACCTGGTAAAGAACAGTCGGGTTTGTCAGTTAGTGATACCCTGACATTTTTGCCCAGTGCTTGCCCCATGGGTGTTTTCGGGGTAATACAGTATTTTTCTAGTAAGATTGGGTGTCTATACTTTCCATATATACCAAATTTGCCAAATGTTTATTGGAAATAACCACCCAATAAATACTTTCAGGACAATGTACATGTACCTTTAATATGAATAGAAATAATATAATAGTCATTAATTAGAAGGTGTGTAACTAGATGTGATTAATTCTAATACCCACCACTACCCAATACACAAACCCAGCCAATAGTGGTGTATATCATGTATTGATGTGTGTAACACGGCTTTGGAATTTGATATAAGAGTATGCCATGGTGCTGCTTTCCAGGCAAAATTTCCCTCATAGAACACTGTATGGCATATGCCCCTCTTCATTAGCCCATTCAGAGCAGAACAGTAGGAAGGACGTTAAACCCCATTTCATTTCATTTTTAATCAGCGGTTGCCAGGAAAGATGCATCCACATTTTGCAAGAGATGAATAGAGAACAAGCTAACATTAGGGGCCATAATCCAGGAAGTTATGGTCTGAAATGCGTGGATGTGAAAATGGACTGAGATATTTGGGATATAAAGATATATTTTAAATTTCATCAAAATCGGATAAAAATTGTGACTTCTAGAGAGTCCACAACCTTGATATTACATACTTTTACATTATTTGCGTACAAGGAGTGGCAATTTTGTCACGCAGTTTCGGTGCAATTTTCACAAAGTTCGAACTTACAAGCCATTAGGGTGTAACGGTGATACATTTAAACGTTTTTTTCAAAGGGTGTAATGGTGATACATTTAAACCTTTTTTTAAAATCTGATACAAATTGTGACCTCTACAGGGTCCACAAGCTAAAAACATGATTTTTCGTACAATCAGGGGCCATAATCCAGGAAGTTACAGTCCAATATGCGCAAATATCAAAAGAACCCAAGATCATAATATTTAATCACTATACTAACCTTCCAACAAAGGTGAGAATTCCTCATTAAATATTTAATCACTATACTAACCTTCCAACAAAGGTGAGAATTCCTCATTAAATATACGATAATGGCTATACTGAACTCCCACATTGTCAGATTCTCCTTTAAATATATTATAATCTCTATACCAACCTAATATAATTCCAATATGCTCTTTAAATATATGATAATCAGCATACTTACCTCTCCCACTGGTCTGATACCCGCTTGTAATATAAATATCTATACTAACCTCCCACATGGGTCTGATACCCTCTTTAAATATATGATAATCGCTATGTCCCGAAAGTTCACTGGGTCGAGACAGATGAGTATAATATGACCAAAACTGTTCTACCTGAAGAAAAAAACAACCATCTGATAGTCTAGAAAGTTAATTATGGGCTTGGGTGATTAATTACCGTTTTGAATTAATAATCTATAATAACATTTGAGGCTAAGATAAAGTCCTGCAACAGGCAGATTTAGCAGAAAAAAAACATCTGTTCAAAATCACAAGCATCCTACAGTTTAGAGAGTTAATTATGGGCTTGTGTGATTAATTATCATTTTGAATTAATAATTTATATAACATTTGATGAAGACCTGCAACAGGCAGATTTAGCTCTTACATGCTGCATCTTTAATGGAATCTTGCGAAGAGTCAACTTATTATGTAACTCGGCTATACAGCAGTGTACCAAACTTTAAATTTTAACATACAGCAATTCCGAAAAACATTGATTTAAAGGCAACAGAGAGAGCCCAAATTCAGTAAAAGATAGCCACATAAACCGTGGAAATATGCCCACAGAAAAAAAGCCACAGACAGCAGCTTATCCAAAAGGAAGACATGGTTGTCCAACAAATTAGCCAGTTTATCGGAGTACAAATTACACCTTAATTTGAACAGAAAATTAAGCCGATTTGGTTTTCTAATAAATTACTACCATGTACTTACCGAAGAAAAAGATCCGACAAATTTAAGAGTTTGATCATAACGTGTTGTCTGTTTGCCGGGGGTTCGTTTAGAAAACCAGAGGGAATAATTAAACTGTATTGGATGTTCACCTGGTCCCGGATGCTGAAATATTAATTAAACTATATATATACTATATATAAATATATACTGTTCTGCTCCCAATGAGGCTAATGAAGGGGGCATATAGCATACAGTATGCTATGATGAGGGAAATTTTGCCTGGACAGCGGCGCTATGGACTACTCTTATGTTGAATTCCAACTACCAAGGTTTTTGTTTTACGTGCACACCAATGTTTACACAAAACTTTGGTTTTCTGTCCCATCCAAATGACTATCATTGTTCCTTGCTAGGCCATCCGTTCAGCACCACTGACAAGGGGGATCCACGCCTGAAAATCCTGATGAACTTTCTTGGTCAACAGGGGATCGAACACAGAACCTCCAGGTTAGCAAACGAACGTCTTGTATTCACTGAGCCACAGTGGCTCCAAATTCGAAATGTCAGGCAGAATGTTCATCATGGTGTTAGACAGACATACATGAGGGTTATTTTCGGGCCCGTTTTCACAGAGTTGTTGTAAAATTATTATTGTTGATGATGACTTTAAGAAAGGAATAATTAAAGATATGTTGTAGTACTGAGCATTATTAAAATTTTGTCCACCTGTCGCTTGGTAGTTTTACTTACTACCTTACTATCTGTCTAACGTAAGCATTTTGAGCCCTGAATGAATCATGAAGGGGAAAGCATGTAGACAGACTTGAACTTTAGTTGCACTGGAAGGTGAAAGTAGAGTCTGATACGTACTGGAGCTGGGGTTGTCTGAACATCCATTTCTACTGATTCCTCGTCACCGCTATCTTCGCCTTTCAATCTAAAAAATATGATGAAAGTTGGTATAAACAATGGTTATATCTTTCAAATCTTACAAAATCATATTAATAAAAGAGGATTTGATGACAAGATGTAGCTTATAAATATTAAAATTTCATAATATGCCAGACACATCCTTTCAGACTGCTTTGTTATATGTAGCCTACTATAACTAGGGGTATTTTTGCAATAAGCTTACAAAAAGGTATTGACAATTTAATTGAACAACAAAATGTCTTCAGCAGAGTGAACACAATGGATCACGAATAACAGCCAATGCATTTACGCCCTCTCTTTTATCCAGACAGAATAAACTAGATTTGTCCTAGAAACAGCTATCACACACTATGTCTATGCTGAGTGCAGAATTCACCTTGGGGACAGAAAAATCCCCACGCATGCGTGATCCCAGTCAAATTTCCATTGACTAATCTACAAGCGCAATGATCTCTGTGTGAAAATTATATTTTTAATGTGTTTTTAAAAATCAGTTCTATCACATATGACGGATGTGATAATGACTGACACCAATATTGTCCTTTAAAAATATTGAAGAGTAGCCTAATCAGCACAAAGTTGACAATCTGCGTCCCAGTTTGATACATACATGCTGATTACAATCGGTGCACGTAGGGTTCAATCTGTCCCAGGGGTGAAGAATGAGCCCAAGACCAATCAATGTATTGTTGACCAATTTTTTTTTTTCAAGAACCTTAATTAAAGGAGCTAAATCGCTAATATTTGGTCATATTGAGTTAAGCCCGTTGTACACGAGCAAAGAAAATTTGACAAATTTCTTTGACGGTCTCTTCAAATTTTCTTTGACGGTCTCTTCAAATTTTCTTTGACTGTACACGAGCATAAGTTCCAAATCTTTGACACATTTATTTGACGAAAAGCTATGCATGCCAGCTTTTGTCAAATCTCATATGGCAAATGAAAATGTGGCAAACTTCCTATCGTACACGAGCAATGTCAAAAGAAAATTTGCTCGTGTACGACAGGCTTTAGAGACTTAGCTACGTACTTTAAAGAAAAAATAATTATTAAAATCGGCCAAAAACTCACTAAGAAAGCAAGTTAAAGTAACTAAACTAGTTATACCTTTATCTTCATATAATTATAAAGCAAGCTCACAAATTCACCCAAACTGAATTTACCGTAGGCCTGATTATATGATCAAGTCAGTCAGTCAGTGAGTTGAGTCTGACGAACACAGTAGACCTACTACTACTACTACTAGAGACCGAGTAGTACTACTAGTACTAGCCGAGTCCTACTGCATGTGAATGTAGAGTGAATGGCCGTGAGGCGTAGAGATGTGAGGTCTTCCACGTGTGTGTCCGAAGCTCTGAATGCAGATGTCCTAAAATTTCTGATATTTTTATCAGATAATGTTTCAGATTTCTGGAAAATCAAATATTTTACTTACACATCGAATTTATTGTTCATTTTGGACAAGTTTATTAAACGAAACTTTTCTAAATATTGTCTATTGATAAAATAAAAATTGGCCTAACGTATTTGTTACCGAGCAGTTCATTGGACGACTCGCTTTGCGCTTCCTTTCAGTCGATGTGTTTTTCATTTTCATTAGTTTAGCAGCACAAGAAATCCAAAATGGCAGCCAACAGTACCAGACAAAAACTTCTCTGTCTTATTGATGACATAGAAATTGTCTCTAAGTAATTATTCTCAAAATTATCTTTGTTTTATTTTGTAACTAGTTTAGTTGAATATGCAATCAACTAGAATTTTCAAGTAGCGACCGGCAGCTATTTTTAAATATTATTTTCTTCTCCAGAAGCTTGTTATTTTCGGAAAGCTGTAGGAGTGTAGGCCTACAGCTTAGTAGGGCCTACTACATCTCAAAATCGGAGCAGAATTGACTTAGTTACTGTCCATTTAGTAACGCGAACTGGCAGACTCCGTGTTCGCGAAATTGGCCATTTTGCTTAAATGATCAACCACACTTCATATCTGAAAGTGAAAAGAGCTAGAGGCATAATTATGTCCCCAAAATGAAGCTTATTTATATATCAACACAACCATACAAACACATGACACCTAACTTGAATAGTTTATTTTCTGTGGTTTGAAATACTGTTACTAAGAGAATATTTAATAATTATTTGAACTTGAACTATACATAATCATAATTAATAATGATACAATGTAATGAACACCTTTTTTTAAAAAACAAAAACAAACTTCATCGTAGAGTATTCAAAACAGAATAAGAATGAGCTAAGAAGAATAAAAATAAAATGAAAATAATACCCCTCCCCCCCTCAAAAAAATAAAAAAAATAATACAAACACACACCAATTTTTTTTGTAAAAATAAAATAAAAATATACATAAAATATAATAATCTATCTATATTCCAGTATCATAATATTTATAATACCCTCCCCTCAAAAAATTAAAAAAACAAATTATTTATCAATCAGGATCATATTTATTTATGTAGCTAACTGTATTAAATAAATCAACATGAAATATAATTTTCTTCCCAAGCTGCCACTCCCCTAGGCACCAGAACGCAAGTCTACCGTACTACTGAAAATACAAAAGATTTAAAAATATTATATCAAGTAAAAGTTGATATAGCCAGCACAGCAATATTATTATTCATACCAAACTGTATTGTTAATGTAATTATGATTTATTAATGTATATATTTTAATCTCACACTCATCTTTCATACACAATCCTCAATAAAACTCTTGAACCTACACATATATAAACACCTGCCCGGTCTTCATTAATATATGTTGTTAATAAATACGCATTTAGTATAATTTGGACTTTTCTCATTTAGGCTACCTTCTGGCTAATTTCTAACCTTGTCTTTGCGTTTTGCTTACATTGTACTTTACCCGCTGAGTTACTTACCTTTGCCAACTTCATTTGCAATTAACGATTTATGGGATTGGTGAATAAAAATAGCACAATCATCAAGGGCAGATAATTTGAAAACGTGTTCCCCACCTAACCCCCCATCGATTAACCCAGGGGTTAGTGGAGTAAAATGGAATGAGACCACTGCGGATACCGAGGATGGAATCGGAAAAGAATGAACCCTATTGATTTTTAACAATCTAGGACTTTCTGTTCAGAGTTATATTATGTGTCTGGAAAAGTTTGTGAACACGATAGAGATTATATTTCTTGAATTTTTTTTTTTTCGTATAAGCTGCTGTTGAGACATAGCTGCTGTGTGGGAGTATTTCCATGCTTTGCGTGGCTCTTTTTATGAAAGATACTAAGTTTAATATCCCCTTGTTTCAATGTTTTGATATTTAATCCTAGTACAATATACATAATGTATGCATATATTTTCAGGGAATTGTTTGAAACGATGAGTACACCAAAGAATCAATTACGACCAGATGGAGCTGATACTGTCATGTTAATGGAACTTCTTGTAGAAAAAGACAAGGAAATTAAGTCAACTTTAAAGATAGGTACTGCTGGATTGGAATGATTAAGACCACACTAATTTCAGTTCTGCAAGACTTTCTGCTAATATAAAGGAGCAGAGGGAATTTTTTTTAGAATTAAAATGTCTGTACTAATAACAATGGAGCGAATTGGGTTAAAAGTTAAAAGTGTCAAATTCATTGGATTTTATGCGTTGATTTGTTTTATTGTGGGATGACAATATTGAGATATAATCAATTGTGTGTTCCACAATAAGACAAATATGAAACTAAAATCAGTTAAAATAAGCCAACTTCGAAACAAAAAATTAATAATATAGATTTTGCCTTATCACTTATCGCTGTAACACATCAAATCGACCAAATTCAGGCTGTCAAGGCAATTGAGTCACAAATAGAATGTCCCTGGTTGGAATACCTGGGTTGGCTGACAAGAAGCTTAATCATTTTCCAAGCCCAATTCTTACTTATCAGGTGGACTGCCTACAGGGCTGCCAAGAAAAGTGAACCTAGTTGTTCGATGAGACTTAAAAACGAGGTACACATTGGCATGCACTTAAAAGAACCAAAGGAAGAAGAGTATGCGAAAACATTGTTAAAATTCTCCCCCATTGTATTGCTCATAGTCATATAACCATAGAAACGAAATTTCTATCTCCGTGTTTATCTCAAAATGTTAAACCTATATTCATTCTTTCTTTTTTTTAGATCTTAACTGTTTTTGATCTGATTGTAAAAGCTGTTATTTATAAATATTTGATCATTTGTTACATGTACTAGCTGAAGAGCAAGCAGAGATACAGACAGTTATGGACAGTTTAAAAACACAAGTTGATAAACGAGATATAGAAATTAAGATATTACAAAAAAACCTTAAAGAATCTGAAACAATTTTAGTAAGTAGAAAGTAATTCATCGTTTTGTAAATATGACAAAAACCAAATAAAAATGTCATCAATTGTTTAATTAGTCCAGTAAAAATAGCAGAAAATAGTGATGGACCGAGAATAAATTGCAAGAAATTGTTTTTTGTCATTTTTCGACGCTATGGGACTTGTAAGTCGCAAATATGAAAATCGGACAAAATCGGCCCTCAGATAAGTGTTCTACAGGGGTCAAAGTTCAAGGTCATGTCAAAATGAGGTAAAAATGAAAGAATTGTCATAAAATCCTTAATATTTGTCATAAAGTATCAAACTTAGTGTCAAACTATGGGTTTTCAGGGGTGCTGAATCCAATGCAACCATTATTTATGTCACGCGACGTCGATATGACGTCATGACCTCATTTGGAAATGACGTCATGACTCTTAATTCCGCGATTTATCATCATAATAGGGCCCTAATAGAGTATCGACACTTGACTTTATACATGGGGTTATCGGGGATGGACAATCAAGGAAAGAAAATGCGACAAAACGCATTTTTGAGAGACCATTTCAATAGAATCCGATCTACTAGGTATTTCGTTTCAAGAATTACAACTATAGCTTTTGTTATAAACAATATTTTCTCTTATTACAATTAAAAATATCAATAAAAGTGAAGGGCAAATGCAAGACAATTTAATGATTATACATATTCACATAGATTGTAGAATCTAGAAATAATTTCTAAACGAAAAACTTCAATATTATCTTAAGTTTTAATACCTCACCGTGCGACATATGACTGGGTAACTCGGAGTTACCTTGTCCGGAGTTACCCGATCCCGCCGTTTTTCTGATCCTTGAAAATCTCTGATTTTGGAAGCCGACTGAGACTAGAAAAAGAGAAGATATGACCTGAATCCTTTTCTGCTGTGAAGTTATCATGTCATTCTTCCGACCGAGTATAAATTCGACAGAATGGGAGTCTTGGTAAAACTATGAATAAAGACGAAATCTTGACAATATGCAATATTTTGGGTAACACCATTTCTACAACATGAGGAGTTACCCCATCCTAGAAATGGCGTTACCCAAAATGTCGCATACCTTGTCAAAATTTCAACTCTATTCGTAGTATTTCAAGAGTCGCATTGTGTCGAATTTGTATTCAAACGAGAGATGAAAACGTAAACTTCACTGCTGAAAAGGATTCTGGTGAAATCTCATTTGCGTCTAATCTCAGGCGGGGCCCAAACTCAGTGATTTTCGAGGATCAGAAAAATGGCGGGATCGGGTAACTCCGGACAAGGTAACTCCGAGTTACCCAGTCATATGTCGCACGGTGATACCTTACGGAAGGCTCAGTAGCAACTGCAGTAAAAAGCGCGACGGATATACGACTGACTATATACAAACAATCTTGAAGTTGTTCCACTAAGAAAGTCCAGTAAAAGGCTGATCCTTTCTTATAAGAACAACTTCAAGGATTTATAGAACACATCATTCCATTCCACGTTGGTGTAGTAGAAGTAAATCTCGCTGATAGTTCCCAGAGTAAATCAACACTTCTCGTACTACAGTTCTGACTGGCAGTCGTCAGAGCATCTAGCATATCGGTATAGTGAACACGACCTAAAGTTTTTCTAGCCATTGTGTAGTCATAAATAGTGATTTTACTTTCCAACACCTGCGTTTTTAGGTCTGCAATCCTTTTACGTGGTACAATAGTAGTTTTCTTGTTCCCTGGTGTCACCGACGCCAAAATGCCCAGGCCGTGGAAAGTACCCTTCCTGTCTACTGTTCTCAGATTGTGATTCACATTGTCGGCAACAAAGAAAACGGTCATAGTTTTTTTGAGTTCTCCTAGTGGTTTGTCTGAATTAGTGGCGGCAGCGTTGTGAATGAATCTCAAAACCTCGCTATATGACGAGCAGACACCAAGCGAATTGAGAATATCAACTATATTGCAACATTTATGTACAGTGTAAGTGCTGGCAGCAATCCCAAAATTTAGTGGGGTAATCACCGATCGTGGACATAAATTGTGCACCAATGTTTGCGCCAGGAAGCATGTTTTGGGCGTGGGTTTCTTATCATCCATTAAATATTCCAAAAAATATCTCACTAACTCTGGTGTTGATGCCCAAATTCTCTCAATTTCTAGGTCACTGCTAGTGGGATACGAGTCCATACCTGGATAATCGGCGGTTTTTATTGCAGTTTGAATAAGTTTGGCTGCCGTTTTATCACCATTCATCTCAATTTGGCACTTTTGGAAAAAATCCCGAGATATTTTATCAATAGTATCCACAAAAGTGACAATGTCATCACACCCTATGCGCGTATTGATGTTTATATCAGTACCATAATGGTCGAGTAATTTAGTTTTTAGCCATTTATTAGAGTATGATTCATTTCCATCCATAAATTCTTCCATCTTTCTTGCCAATTCTGACATTGTTGCCTGCTGCTTCTGTTCAAAATAAGTGCACACTTTGGAAAAAGCAGCCATTTTCTCTTTGTCCACGGGTCTTCCTTGAGTGCGCAACTTCTTGCGATTTGGCACTGAGCTATTTGCACGTGCAGTCGGTACATCTTTACCTGTGCGGAAATTTATGTCACATTTATGATGATAGGCAACATCGGCGGCATGTAGATCAAAAGCGTAGTAATTAAGTCTACCCTTCACTTCCAGTGCCCATACATCTTTCCTTTGATCTGCTGCTTTGGTGATACTGTCGACAAATGCACCAGTTTTAACAGAACTTGCATCCGAATTAGATAAATCCACTTCCATACCACAGTAAAGACATTCAGATTTTTTGTTGTATGATCGTCGTTTCTGACACTGACTAAGATTGATAGTATTTGTTATATCAGACAGTTCCCGTTTGATTGATGTTTGAATGTCTTTCTTGCTAGTGAAATTTCTGCGACAATCTTTGTGAACATTGGTTCCGATATTAATACTATGAATAGAAATAGATCTGATTTCTGCCGCTTTCAAAATGCCAGTAACACCTTTGTCAGTCAAACAGATCAATTTACCCTTACCAGGAGACGACTCACTGCAGAGGGGACAAAGGGTTGGAGTTTCTTCCGCCATTCATGCATACAATTCAGTGTCCATTCAATTATTCAACACTCTAACACTCAAAATCACAGTTTTTTCGAAATTCCCGCAAAACGACGCCATTTTAAATTCGATGTGACGTCAGAGATTATGCGCATGCGTAATACGGCTAAAATGACTATGACGTCATATATTATTATGACGTCATTATCACGCCGTTTGTGATCAAAATGCACGAGCTATGATGATATTTTAATACTTGATCAAACGCAATCCCACAATTATAAAGCATTATTATTAAGTTTATTTGACCATGACGTCATTTCTATTTTGTTGCCTGGCAAACTATCTTGTTCTCCCTCTTTTTCAGTCAACGGCAGTGTACCAAGCTCAACAGAAGTTGGAGAGTATAAACCAGGCCAATACAAAAAAAATATCATCAGAAGAATTAATAAAATTTGCTCACAGAATCAGCGCTAGTAATGCAGTTGCAGCTCCTGTAACATGGGCACCTGGTAACAATGATTACAATAACAAATTCTGGAAATTTTATATGCGTTTTATCATTCCTCATGTCTTTAGTATTTCATATTATGGACTCATGTTGTAAGAAAATTATGCCTAGAATGTCCCAGTTTGTGCTAAAACAAACCTTGGGTTCTTGTCATTGTTAACAGGATCTCTACTGTAAATATTTGCACATTTAAGTGCAGGCGTATTATGTCATCACCCATGTTTTGTTGCCCGGTTGCCTGGTAACCTATCTTTTTCATGGTTTTGGTGCATTTTCAAATATCTATAAATAATAAATATACATTTTCCTTATCTGTTTGTTTCTGAATATAAGTTGATTTAACGGAATTAATAATTATTAGTGAATATGTCATAGGCGACAAAAAACAAATCAAATAAAATTAGTTTTAATTGATATTGAATTCTCAATTCACAATAAATGTAATATTATTCAATAATATTTTTTAGAAATGTAATATACTATTTTCAGGTGACCCAAGGAGACCATATCCGACAGATTTAGACATGAGGCAAGGTTTTTTAGGTCAAGGTACATACACAGATACATTAGCTGTGTCACGGAGCAATAGTCAAATATCAAATGGTGAGTTATTTTGGTATTACTATGCACGCATCAACATTATATAAATGTTAAATCAGATCCAGTTTCCAAATTTACTAATTTATGAAGACGCTTTATAGATATGTGTTCAGAATCAAAAGATCTTGGATGAGTTCTGTTTTGGCGTGCACCTGACCCGTGCTGGAGTTATGCCCCCTGCGTTTTACCTAAAATGTGATGTACAAATTTTGTGGACCCTCTAGAGACTGCAATTTTTGTCCGATTTAGTTGAAAGCTTTAATATGTGTGCATCGGACCTTCTGTGTGAGACTTATGCCCCTTGTCTTTCATGCTAAATGTGAAATATGTACAAAATTTTGACCCTCTTAAGTCCATATTTTGTAAAATTTGGTTTTAAGCATTGGGGTCAAGAGAGGATGAATCCTATCAATAATCAGCGCTCTGCGACCTTTTGTTCCAGAGTTATGCCTTCTTGGCAGAAATCCATCTAGTTTTTAACAAATTTATTTTAAATTTGGTGTGTAGCATTGGGATCATGAGAGGTTGAGTCCTGTTAATATTCAGCGTGACATTCTGTTCCAAAGTTACCCCCATTCAGGAAAACTTGTGAACACGATAGAAGCTACAGTTTTTAATACATTTTTCGAATTCGATGTGCAGCAATGAGAGAATGAGGCCTAGTGGTTTGGGTTGATCTATTGCAAAATGTGGGTGTATCTTGCATAGCAACGACTTGTTGTTACAAGAATGATATTCAGTCAGTTGTATTTCGCTGGTAGATGTTGTTTTATTAACAATTTTCATAAGGCAAAATTGCATTCCATCGTACCATCTGCCCAAACAAAGACCTATGATTGCATGAGTCACGTAATATTCCTGTCTTGCCCTCAACCACTAAATTGTACAAACGCTGACACCAACAACTTGATAATGATTGTTGTTGGGTAAAAGTGTCACAATTCTAAAAGAATTTCGATGTTCATGCTAATCTGTAGGAGATTAAAATTGACACAACTTCTTGCCAATCTTCTAAGTTATTTATTGAAAACAAACTTTTCTGTTTAGTTTCAGAGACGAACAGTACGCCTGTCAGTTCCAACTCGTTGTCGTGGCAACATCCACCAGAAGTATCGATCACAAGTAGTATATCCCACCATGCTATATCCGATTTCAAAGGACATAATAAGGAGAATGAGGAAATAGAATTGATGTCTAGTGACTCTAGTAGTAGCAGTTCAAGTGATGAATGAACAAAAAAAACCTCACTTTTTTATTTGTATCTATTCTCCGTCATTTACAATATGATTGAAGTACAAATCCTATTTCATTTTTTACGCCTTCACAACAGTGGGATCTGGAAGGATATTGTTCAGGACAGAGGTTCTGGCAGTGAAAAGCGTTGAAGTACACGTAAAAAAAAAACCTTTACAGTTAGAATTCAAGGAAGAGTAGCTCTGTTTGTACAGAAAAGTAGGACATTTTCTCTTTGATATAAGAGGACCAATGAAATGGTATGTTTTGTCCAGCTTTAGGCTAGGTGTGGACTGAATTATAGACATCTTCAGAGCCCTAAAGAACATAATTGAAAGCTATTCTGATGGAGAGGAGGACATGGGGAGAATAGAAACAAGGTCCCCTTATATAAAATATAATTGATGGTCTGCTCTTAGCTTGTATATATTTGTTATGTAATGATTAATGGAGAATGTGTATTAAAGCCTGATGGAACTGAAAGCGTTAGATGCATAATACTGTGTTTCTTTTCTCAATATTTTAATTTTCATATATCACAACTGTAAAGCTTCACTACTTTGTTCACGGTATTAATAGAAAGGAGAAATGTACACCGATACAAGCTGTTTCAACACTGGTTTAATAATGTCATTGTACAGAGATAGACAAAATACATTTTATACATATTTATTAACACAGTTACGATTGTCTATGGTTACATAGAATATAGGTAACTTACAGTAACATTTATGACATGTATACATGCATGCTAATCGGTTGTATATGGGTATAATTTAGGAACACTGAACAGAAAAAAACTGTGGGATAGATTAGGATTAACAATGAATTTAAAATAGTAAAATGCTTGATTTCCAACATATCAGTCTGTTTTATTTACAGATCTTCATCAGGGAAATAAAGTTCACAATCATATATACAGTAAATACCTTTGATCTATCTAGGTTTTTCTGTTCCTGGTATCTGATACGGGGGCAGGGGAGGACTTTGAATATATATCCAGGAGACTTTGGGGTTATTTTTCTGAGGTATTTCTTTCCGTAAGAAAACCTGATGTGAACCTGATGTGCGAGTAATTCTTGCTGGTGAATTAGTATTCTGTTTGGTGGACCTACAATTTAATTATGATGCTAACTGAAGATACAGATTTGTCATGGACATAGTGCCCATCAGTCGCATACCATGTATGATTAGTATGTATCTCAAATTCGCACTTGGAAAAAGGACTCTAAGGCGACAGCAGATGGAATATGACAGTTCGTTCAGACAACTAAATTTAGAAAAATGTGTGTGTGGGAGAGCGGGATGGGGGTGGGGGAATTTTGTTCTATTATCACTGTAACCCGGGTATCATTTAATGTTGTGTATTTGGCCCTAATTTCTATTAACATACATTCAGTATCAGTTTTTTGTTTGAAAAATCGTTGAAAATCACATTATTTTAAACAGTGGTCAGGAAATTAAATGCTTGTAAATGTGACACTCATTATCAAAACTTAACAGTCGGCTTTAAACTGGAGACAAGTACCAATGAGATGATTTAGGGTGGTTTTAGATTTTGAAAAAAAAATCCTTCTATATACATTCATATTTCAGTAATATGTGCTTTTAGACCCATATTTATCCTTTTTAAGGTTCCAAAGGATAGAGCCATACACCCTTTAAAACTCGGGAACTTTAATAAAATTTTGTAAAGACGCAAAAGTCTATAAATCAGTTAAAAGCTGTCTGTGTGTATGTTCGTCCATCATGCTTTGATCCACCCCCGTAAATGTTTCAGTCCAACGAATTTGGCCCTGGGTGAATTAGGATAAGGCTTTGTCCCCACGTATCAAATTAACCAGCATGACTCGTGCATATTTTAGGCTCTCAAATTTGGACCCCAGCGAATTTGGGCCCTGGACAAAGCCAGGTATCCTGCTTGTACAATAAATAAATATGCAGAGAATTACAGCAGAAACAATGTAGTTATCTCCCTTAGACTGTGCACATGTCGCATAGGAGGTTTATGCAATCTTGATAATCCTAACAAATATGGACAATGAACTATGACAGAAATATGATATAAATAACATCAAAACAATAGCTTTTAAAAAGCAGTTAAAGTCCTGATGCATCATTTTAGCACTATTGAATCACTTGCAAATTACAATATTTCAATAGATGAATGTCTGGGAATATCGATCAGTCCAACAGGGTTTAATTCCATGAGTATTTGCAAAGATATGTTGAATTGAAATTTCATCAATTTATGCAATAAACCTGACACCAGTTTGTTATCCGGGAAAATTTAGTGATAGGCCGTGAGAAATATGATACTTTAGCGAAAAATACAAATGATGTATTGGGATGTGCATACACAAACCGTAACTTTTTAGCAATGCAGTTACTTGTTTTGCAAAAAACACAATAAAAGAATATCTCTACGAAGATGAAGCACATTTAAGTAATGCTCAGCAAAATTAGCTACTCATCTTAAAACTGCTCTATACCATGGAGCCAGAAAAGTAGGAAATCTGATAACTGGAAAGAACATTCGAAATACAATGCAGGAAATTAATCACACCTTATTGGTTAACTCTGCTGTTCCCAGACATGTGATTTCCACATCCCAGTTATACTTCTACTAACTTATGAAATCAGTTTAAGGTTACCTAATATTCACACCAGAAAAAAAAATAAGAGGGATATTTACTATTTACATTTAAAAGATGGTATGTGACAACATATGTTCACATTGAACAAAAAAAACCACAAGTCAAAAGCCTGTTAAAGGATTTTAAAAAAATACTTGTATTTTATTCATTTTCTTATAAAATGGTAAACATAATAGAATAATATAATTGGATGGAATGTAAACATGTATATATACAAAGCTTGAATGCATATTTAATACAATGAAAAAATTTTACAACATTGTTACATTTATGAAGAATTGAACTCGGAGAAACATTTCAAACATGAAATATAATTTTAATGAATGGAAAAAATATTTATTTTATTAACCTTCTAATTAATATAATAAATAGCAAATATTATAGACATCTACCCCTAAAATAAAATACCAATCAGCTTGTAATAAATAAAATAAAAACATATTAGAGATTTATACCTAGAAATGCAAGACTACTTGGGACTGGTTTCATTATTAACTGTCAGTTCAGGTGATATGCAGGAGAAATTTTCGGTCTGTGGAATAAATAGGCCATTAGTTGTCAATAGACCTGCTCAATAATGTGAAATGGGTTTTTCCAAAATGTTTGCCATTCTTATTATACTACTAGAAATTTCGCTACTATGAAATGAAATGGGGTTTAACGTCCTACTGTACTGCAGACGGGCATATGCCATACAGTGTACTATGAGGAACTAAGGGATCTTTTATATGCAAGTCAATGTGTACACAGAACCTTGGTTTTTCGTCACATCCGAACTAAACGTTGTCCCTTGCCAGACCCTCTGTCCTGCACCACTGACATGGGGGAACCATGAGGGAAAATCCGTTGAACTTTCATGGCCAATGCAGGGACTGAACACGACATCACCAGGTTAGCGAACAAACGTCTTACTCATTTAGCCACTGTGACTCACTTCTCCCAACTACAATCTGTGACCAGTATAAGATAGATAAGAATATTTTAAAACTAATGGCGATTAGTTCCAAAAATTATCAGTGCACAAACGGGTGCAATAAATTTATTTTGATAGAAGTAAATGTAGATAGAAATTTAAAATATTATGCACAATAAAACATATTATACTGTTAGTGTTATTGTAAAGAGTAAAATACTAGATTGTATCATTAAAATATAAAATCCTAAAAACAGCTGAAGACATTTATCAACAACAATATTGAACCAAATTATAACCATTTTAATTCAAAATTCAGCTCTTGAGATAAAACGTATATATACATACTATGACAGTATAAAGCTGGGTATAAAATACTATATAAACAAACCAAAAGTGAGGCTGATGTCCCTCAATCTGATAAAAATATAAATCTATATTTCGTTTCATTTTTTTTATGCTTGCAATGGCCTCTACTACATGAAGATCTGACCGGTTGTAATGGGAGGTCATGTCAGGGGTCATATTAGTGGCTTTTGACCCTATGATGTCAGACATTTGATTAAACAATTAGCATTGATGTTTCAAGAACTCGCTGAAAACAATATAAATCTGTATTAAATATGAGCAATAAAAGCCATTTATTTTAATATCTAAGATGCAAGTTATATACCAGAGGTACAAATATGTGTACCTATATGAGGAACATTTTCCGTAATTTAACATGAAAAATCTGGCAGAACAATTTACCCAATACTATTATTACTACCCAATACTACCATATTATTATGAAAGATAGGTTGCCAGGCAACGAAACATACGCCCACAGCAGCTCAATCGTCCGGGAAGTCAACAAGAGCTGTTGCATATTTTGACTTTTTTTGGTAATGAAACATTTATAATACATGTACACTAAAATCTGATTAAGAGAAACAACTCATAAAGTAATTATCAGAAAATCATTAGAATTTGTTTGGTTTTAGAAAGTTCTGCCCCATGCTAACAGTTTAGTATACGAAACATTTAATACCATGGATTCAGCTGTTGGAAGTTATCAAAATTCATTGAAAATCAATATACGTGTTCGTCTCAAGACCTTAAACTCTGTGTATCAATCTGAAGTAAATAGGATGATAACTTTAGCTTCTAGAGCGTCACAAGCTTTTTCAAAGTGATCAAGGGCCATTACTTTAGCAGTAATTATCGGAAATCGTTGAAAATCAATTGGATTCTTCATCTCATGACCTCAATCATGGCGTATAAATTTATTTAAAGTCAATCGGATATTAACTTTAGCCTCTAGATCTTGTGGACGCTGGACGGACGGGGGCGACGACAATATACGACCACATTTCAATGTGGGCATATAAAAACAGAATACTTTAATTTTGCAAGATACATCAACATTTTGCAAGAGATGGACAATAGGGCTCATCCTTTCATTGTCCCACTGCTTCACATCAAATTTGGAGAAAAACTTGAACTGTGAAGCAGTACCTTGTCAAAATAGCATGGGTTTCTATGGTCATATTTGAAGCAGACCGACAATGTTTTCACCATATTTTAATACAGTTAATCAACTGTCCGAAGATTAAGCAAAGACCCCAAATCTTTCAACAATGAAAGATTTAATTGGATGACAAAAATAGACACACCCATTCAAAAACCCAAGTTTTGGCTCCAATTACAGCAATGGTCAGAGAGATTAGGGGTAAAAAGTTATGGAAAACATCAATGTTCAAAGCTATGAATAGTCGAAAAAAGAAAAGATATGGATGGAATGTTTAGATGTGAACAGAAGATGGTGTTTCTCCAAGATCTATTGTGTTACTATCCGTCATCTGTTGACCAGAGTCCTTCTCCATGGTGGGACGTTGATTACAGTCATTAAATGTGACCATATCGTTGTTTCTAAAATGTTTATAACTGTTGGGTCTAAGTCGTAAATATCCACGTTTAATAGCCCAGACTATCAAACTAACAGCAACTATTGATAATATAATAGCTAGAGCTAACGGTATACCCACAGATAATCCAATTCTTGATGCTCTCTGATCATCATTCAATACTGTAGCTGTATTATGTGAACCTAAAAAATAAAATTTGTTCAGTTTTATTTTATTACTCCATTTTATCTTTTGACTAAAATACAAATCTACCAATCAAACCTGTGATACAGAAAATTCTACAAAATCTTATGAAAGGCTTTAGATGTTGATGAAGTGACCAACTGAATAAACCAAATGAAAATAAGAGAAATAGGATTTAAGGTCTAATGAACACAAACTAGGTCATTTTGGGACTAAAATATGGTACACTTTTATTTCAATAATTTACTTGAGCATATGGGTATGGGTCTTTAGCAGTGGGAACAAACTAGAAGACCTGGAGAAAACCTACAAGGTTAGGCAGGCAACCCAACTCCTTGTTACATACAGGTCAAAGATCCTATGGTTAGATCTATGAGTAAAACACACAAAACAATAATTATCTTAACAGAAACAATAAGCTTTCATATGAAACATGAAAGTATTATAGGAAGTGAGATTATGTGTTTCTATGTAGAATTATGACATTCTGGAACCAGGTTGATTACTAGCAAGCAGTTTTGAATTTTATACCTTTCAAGACATATCCACATTTCGACTATACAAAAGATAGAAAACTACTAAACTACCTACTCTAACCAGATAATACACTTGAAGTACGATTTAGAATGAATTGGTGGTATGGCCTGTTACAGCATTGTTTTTTGGGTGTACAATCAAAAGTGAAAATTCTATTAATAACATTTCTTGTGACCACCTTCTCCCTATTCCCTAGTGCTTCAGATCTCCAACAATTATCCTGATCAGTACATGTATGTAGGCTAAAAACTTACTGATAGCATCAAGATATAGGACACTAAAACCTTTTGGTTCTGTTACATTTCCTGATAAAATCCAACGATCTCGATCCAATCTCAGTTTTAAGTAAGCTCGGAAACCTTTCGTTGGCGGAAATATGTCACTTGAATTATAGGCCGTAACTTTACGTATCTCTATAACATCTTCTTCTGTAAGTGTAGAATACCCTAAAATACAAATAGACACAAATCTGACTTTTTTTTTCGAAATTCATTAGTTCACCAGCTTAGTTTTTTTTATAATTAAAGATTTTCGCAAGAACGTTCTGTCTGTTTTTAAAATCAAATAAAAATTGTAACCTCTAAAGGGTCCACATTAAAAATGGAGTTTTAAGGAAACAAATGGAATTCAATTTCTGAATCAGAAGGTCATGGAATGCTAAATATTGATAGGGTCAGTCCTCTCATGACCCCAATGCTCCCCACCTAATTTGAAATAAACCCTTCAAAAACCTGTAGTCTCTTTTGTGTTCAGAAGGGGGATGCTCAATTGAACATTCCAGAATCTAATTCTATCAACCCCAAAAATAATGACAATCGAGTGAAGATGGGAATTTGGAGCTAGAACGCATGCGCCGACTGCATAAGAAAATATCTCAACCAACCATGACAGCTGAAACATAATCGTTGTGTTTAATTATGCCACAATTCTACTCACACCACCTCCATAGTTGTGACTGACAGAACTGTGACAGAATTGAATTCTGTCAATTCGGGACGTTCCGGGCTGACAATCGAGCATCCCCAATTCTTTCGGCAATGGGGGATAACTCTATTTACTAATTTTAGTTTATGGCTTACGCTGTCAAATGTTGAACACAACAGCAAGTTTCTTTTTATGAATAGTTTCTTTCAAATCAATATCCCCTCACAGTCTCATATAACAGTTATTAATAGTTAGCTGAAAATTGTCTGGGTAGCTGTTACCACTCTCTACTTAAATTAGCAACAATAATTGCTTTCCTTTATTTGTGTCACTTCTGGATACTTCCAACTTTTGTTACGGATCAAGCATAGCAAAGAGCTCTGTTAAAATTATACTGGGTATTTGAAATATGTTCTATCACATTGGTAAACTCCAAAATTGTCATTCATTCAACAATGTTATTGTTCCACCAACCACATTACACTGTGAGTATATCAAGATAACTAGCGGACATATTTTAAAAATTGTTACCAGTCTGACAAGTCAAGGTTTTAAATTTATGTTCATAAGCATTACCTTCTATATCCATATTTGTGGACTCATCTTTAAATGTAGCCACCATACCACCAGTTTGTGTTAACTGTATAGAATGAACAATCATTCTACAATGATGTATCTCTGACTGGTAATTATATCGGCCTTCCCATTTCATATATTTACCCAATATTTTCTTCCAGCGTGGTACTTCAACAGTAGTTTCTGTAAAATACAATAAGTGTTTAAGGGGAGAGTATCACGAGGAAATTATGTAATCCTTGAGTGACAAAAATGAAATGGGGTTTAAAGTCCTACTGTTCTGCACCCACTGGGCTAATGAATTGTTTCACTGGCATTTAGTAATTGAACATTGCTTGATAATGACTAGAAAAGCCTATAGTTGAAACATCCCTAAATTATGAGCAGTAATTGTATTTCATAGCATTGTGGCAAAAAAATATAAAAAAATATAATGGCCTAAGAAAGACGGGCATACGACATATAGTGTGCTATGTGGGATATTTTGCCCAGACAGCAGCACTACGGCCTACTCTTATTTCAAATTCCAATTGTCAAGGGATCTTTTATGTGTATGCTAATGTGTACACAGCACTTTGTTTTTTGTAGTGCCATTTAAAACCAGCAGTTGCCAGGCAAGATACGCCCACATTTTGGAAGATATGGATAGAGAACAAGCTAAAAACAAAAGTGATTTTTCACACAATCAGGGGCCATAATCCAGAAAGTTATGGTCTGAAATGCGCAAATATCTAAAGGGACTGAGACCTTTGGGATATAAAGATATATTGTCAGTTTCATCAAAATCAGATAAAATTGTGACCTCTAGAGGGTCCACAACCTTCGTATTACATACTTTTAGACCATTTGGGTACAAAGAGCGGCCATTTTGTCAGTCAGTTTTGTTTCGATTTTCGGGAAATTCGATCTCAACTGATATTATGGTGTAACGTCGATATATTCAAACATTTTTAAATCGGATAAAAATTGTGACCGTCGTGATACCACAAGCTAAAACTATACAATCAGTGGCCATAATTCGGGAAGTTACGATCCGATATGTGCGAATATCAAAGGTAAACCACAAGCTAAAGACGGGATTTTTCATACAATCAGGGGCCAAAATTCAGGAAGTTATGATTCGTTATGTGCGAATATCGAAAGGAACCAAGATCTTTGGGTTATAAACATGAATTTCAAGTTTCATCAAAATCGGATCAAAATTGTGACCTCTAGATGGTCCACAACATTGTTGTACCATTTTTTTACAGTAATTTGCGTACGAGGGGTGGGCATTTTGTTTAGCAGTTTTGGTCCAATTTTCTCGAAATTATCAAAATCAGATGAAAATTGTGACCTCTCGATACATGCCAATATCGAAAGGAACCGAGATCTGTGGGAGATAGACCTATATTTCAAGTTTTGTCAAAGAAGGATAAAAACTGTGACCTCTAGAGTGTCCACAAACAAATTGCCGACGGAAAGACGGACGTGACCGCATAATACTTCCGGCAAAATTTCCCTCAGAGCACACTGTATGGCGTACGCCCGTTTTCATTAGCCCAGTTTGGAGCACAACAGTAGGACGTTAAACTCCATTTCATTTCATTTTTACTTGATAAGCAAACGGACAACCCTATAATTATTCTTGTTAATTGAGTGAGTGAACATATGAGGTTGTATTGAAACATGTAAATAGTTAACCTTCACAAGTAATAAAATATTTATACTCACCTGAATAAACTGAGACAAAACAGCTAATCAAAACTGGTATTACAACTGGTAACATCATTATAACAATTTTCTGGAAAATATAAATTTGTTTCAATGTTTATGTATATTTATCTATCTTTGATATCCTTATCCAATAACATGTAATATTCACAGAAATATTCAAATATTTGAATTCAAATAGTTCATTGAGGCCATGCGAACTGATTTTTTGGAATTCGCTGTTCAAAGTCAAATATAAGTCATGGAATTTGACCATTTTTTTTGTCTGCTACATGTATAGGAAAAATTGTATAAGTCCATACAATCAACTAACATTCAGAAATAAATGAACAGATTTGGAAATTACATTGATTTTAAAAATTCTCTATAAATCTAAACCAGTGAATGGCAGTGATTCTCAACCAGTGTGCCGCGGCACACCTGTGTGCCTCGAGATCTACCTAAGTGTGCCGCGAAATTTTGAACGGCACACTAAGAAAATTTGAAAAACCAGCGATCCCAAATGAGTATTCACTGGTGTCTACTGGTAAGATCATAGCTGTGTTTTCTTTATTTAGTTCGAGTCATTCTATGTGTCTATGACTAGTCTCTGTCTACGGTTGTATGCCTTAACATGGATTATTTTGCAAAATTTTAAATATTTTTCATATATATTTAGTCAGGTGTGCCGCTATTTTTTAATGTGTTCCAAGGTGTGCCGTTGGCAAAGAAAGATTGAGAACCACTGATCTAAACAATAGTCAAGCAAAGTGTGGAAATGCCCATACAGCAGCTATGTCTCGACAACAGCTTACCCAAAAGCAAACATGTATGTTGACCAAATCTGATAAGGATCTATGCCTTCAAGAAATCTGATTTCTATCATGTTCACAAGCTTTAAAAAGTGTATTAAAAACTGTAGCCACTGTCATATACACGGGGATTTTGGAAAAATCACTTGTGTAGTACAAATATCTTGGCAACCCTAGACTTCACAATAAGGTGTTCGACACGGTTCCTCACACAAGACTTTCATAAGGACCACTAAACTTGAATCACACCTTTAAAATTGTTAATTGATGACTCTAATACATCCAATAAATAATCAGATTTATTTTATGATCAGTAGTGGAATACCGCGTTTTATCAGTGAAATAAAAGTGTTATTCCACTGGCTAAAGTAGTCCATATTGTTTTTACCTAAAATAAATAGAACATTTGTCGTTTTGTCGTGAATAACACATTTTATTTCATCTCTAAGCAAGAAAACGTTTATATTTTCACTCATGCTACGCATTCGTGAAAATATAAGTTTTCTTGCTTCTCGATGAAATAAAATATGTTATTCACTCTAAAACGACAAATATCCTCTATATCTATCCAATAAGACAAATTACAAGTTAGATCGGAGTAATTTTCATATTTGGTCAAATTTATTTTCTGAACAAGATAAGCCTAATATTTTGATAGGTTTTCTACAGATTATTTATTTTCATGACAGTATAGTACATTTTCCACGATGCTGTTTGTGTTAGTATTGGGTCCATAAATCGGGAAACCCCATAAATATATTTTATGTTTATATTCTGAACAAGGTAAGCTAAATATTTTTATTGCTTTTCTATCATAACTTATTTACAATAACATAGCACATTTTCTAACAGTAGGACATTAAACCCCATCTCATTTCATTTCAGTAGGGGAGGGTGTATGTTCTGCCATATTGTGGCTTTCAGCGCCTAGCTAGCTCGTCCATTCTAATACACAACTTTTTACTTTAATGATTATCACAAAGTATCACATCCCTGTCACCCACATAGCAATATCGTATTACACTATCTATAATAACATAGAGTGGACAATGTGAACAAACTGGGATATCCATATGGCACAACTTGCCCAGTTGACGGGATATGTTTATTTATATAGCAGGGCATGTTGTGCCAACTCCTTATCTATGATGAACAAGCCCATTGCCAAAGGGATGTACAAAGGGTAAAGTTGCACACTTCTCTAAGAGCGTATAGTGCCTGATAAATGTGCCTAAAATATTCAAAATTTGCCCCATTTTGGTTTAAAATGCCAACCAATATTAAATATTTTGCACTATGTAGGCCAGGGGGCATTGTTCAAAATATTTTCTGATATCAAATCCTGAAAGGGTGGATCGACAGGGTTGATATCAAAAACTTTTCTGAGTGATACACCATTTGTGGGCCCTTTTGGTGGGAATTTGCTTTACATGCCCCCCACCCCCCTTGAGAGCACTTTTTGTCAAATTTAGGGGACACACTTTCCAGAAGTTGACAAATCCAAGATATCTTTGACAAGTTTCTAACTTTCAATGTTGGTTTTGCTCTCCCAAACTCAACCGTATTGAGAGGTTGCCTAAACTCAACTACATAATTTATGAGTCGCCTAAAACTCACGTATATTCTTGGAGTGCACGTGCTGTTGATCTATATAAGGGGGTTGATTATCCGCAGTTGTTATTTCACATAATATGAGATGTGAGCTTGGTCTAGCTGTTGATTTTATGTTGTTGTTTTTTTTTTTTTTTATAGTGTTCTGATGGAATTGTCGATAGTCGATTTTAATAGTCCTTATTAATATTAACCTTCCTTCATTTGGCCGATCATTTCATTTCATTATGATTCTAAGAATATTTTCTTGGTGCGGTATCAAAATAAATGTCTAGTTTACAAATGATACTGACCTTCAAATTCGGTGTAAGTAATGATTAATAACGTCAACTGACGCGTTAATATAATGCATCTACCCCAGACTTCACTTTCTTCACTACCTGTTACTAAAAGTGTCAAGGTCATCGGCGACAGGTAAAATATACACTCGATTATCAAGACGTGAAATTTAGAATTGGAGCTGTTTTTGGGCCCCAAGCCGAAATTCATCGAAATTCACTTACATTCATTGGAATTTACCCCTTAAACCCCGATTTATCCCAAGACTAATTTACCCAAATCACCCTAATCTACCCAAATCCACCATTATTTCAACTTTAAAACAATAATTTATATGCGATTTCAAGGCAAGTTGATAGTTAAATGCGCAATCAAATATCGATATAAATGATTATTATGCGAGTTGAAATATTTGTGAATTTTGGTAAATAGTGCTACCGCACCCGGACCGATGTCTTTGAAATACTGTGTTTTAATATTGATAATTCTGTCTTGTTTTATACATTTGTTTTCTTAAGCGTTATTTTCTTACCCGTGTATTATCTCAAACATGACGCGCGTCAAAGAAAATCAAATAACAAAACACCGACAATAATTGAGTAGTTATTAATTCTTATGTATCCTACTTCCGAAAAGCAACCCTTCAGCTCTCACTTTACTTTCACACCTTCGCTATTAATACTGGTATCGGTATACGTGCAATTTCCACCTTGTTTCGAAGGCCTTTCTAGGTTCTTCATACTATCCTCTTGGATGTTATGCCACAATCTTCGAGATATACTGAGCGGCATGGCATGGAAAACGTATCTCTTTTTTTTCCAAATATACTATTCAAAAAAAAGTAGGGGATATTTGATTTTTAAGTGTTATTAAAGTCACCTAATGAAACTGACGAAGAAACAAATGACAAAATGAAATGAAGTTCACATTCATCGATTTATTCCAAATGATCGTTAGACTAAGTAAGGCACAGACTGACCATTATAAGGGTAAAATGATACCCGGGGTCAAACAGCAAAGTTACCACAGCATCACAACCAAGTCAGTAACGGGTAAATCCTCCTCTGTTTGCCAAACAAGCTAGCATTGATCCGACGTGGCATACTCCTAATGAGACGTCTAAGGTCATTTTGGTCCAGATTGTCCCATTCCTGTTGCAACGCAGCAGCAAGTTCTTGGACATTGGCAGGACGTTGTTGACGTTGACGTAACCTCTGTCCAAGCATGTCCCAGACATGCTCGATGGGGGAGAGGTCGGGACTCAGTGCTGGCCAAGGTAATGTGGTGATGTTCTGTTGTTGGAGGTAACCTGTAACGATCCTGGCCCTGTGACATCTTGCGTTGTCATCCTGGAAGATGAAACGGCGGCCATGACGTCGTGCGAACGGCACAACATGGACTGCCAAGATGTTGTCCCGGTAGTACTGGCCTGTAACACGCCCTGCAACAACATGTAAAGCCGTTCTTCCAGCAACAGTGATGCCTCCCCACACCATAACAGAACCACCCCCAAATCGATCATGTCTGATGACGTTAACGTCTTGGAAGCGCTCGTTTCGACGACGCCACACCCTCCTACGTCTGTCCAAAAAAATCAACAGTGAACCTTGACTCATCTGAAAACATCACATTGCTCCAGCGTCGATTATCCCAGTGTTGACGATCCCTACACCAACGACGTCTTGCCTGAATGTGATGATCTCTCAAACAAGGGATCACGCGAGGACGTCGGGCGCGAAGGTGACTCCTATGCAGTCGATTCCGAATCGTCTGGCCACTCACTCTCACACCAGTGTCTGTTTGAAGACGAGCGCTGATCTGATTTGCTGTGATGACACGATTTCTCAAGGCCAAGGTACGGATAAATCGATCCTGGGCTTGAGATGTCGCCCTTGGTCGACCTGAGCGTGGTCTGTCCTGTACAGATTGTGTATCAGGGTATCTGGACCATAGCCTGCTTATGACAGACTGAGAAACATTCATCGTCCGCGCCACAACCGCCTGTGTTGTGCCGATCTGTAGCATGCCAAGGGCACGTAACCTTTCATTTTGGGTAAGCCGACGCATATCAAAATTTGTTTTCTGGTCACTAAAACAATTAAACTGATGTTTCCACCCTGGAATTCAATGCCACAATGACTGTAACATTCAAAGTCAGAGTCGTGCAAATCTTGGGTTGGACCCCCATGATGATCTCAAGCATCACCTGCATTCCATGCGGTAGCTATTGGTGCGTTTGGGCGTCACATGTAACTGGAAATGTTTCTTCTGTTAGGTTCTATAGTGACTTTTTTCGTAGTCATTTGCATATTTTAGTATTATGCCCCCAAAATCAAATATCCCTACTTTTTTTGAATAGTATATTTTATTACTACATGTATATAGGTGGTTTTGTATGTATAATATACTCGGCCAAATTAAAAACTTGACACTCGTGATTTTTGGGACTCTAGATTTTTAATATTTGGTTTAAGGCAACTATTTTAGTGTTATGTTGTGCACAGACGACCTTGACATCAACAGAAAGCAAGCATACGTCTCGCCGAAAGTCCTTGACATTGATAACGTTCGTGATGTCACAGTACCCCCCAAAATGAAATTCACAGACTTGGAGAACAATCGGAATAAAGTGTTTAGTAACGGTTGTGGCCTCCTCTAGCGTCTCGTACTGCCACACAATGTCTTCTCATGGATCTCAGAACATTAGTTAACACTACCCGAGGAAGACGTCGCCACTGCTCAGCAAGAGCATGTTGAAGGTCCTGCAACGTCAGTGGTGGATTCACTTGCTGACGAACACATCGACCCCAGATGTGTTCAATAGGATTAAGGTTGGGGCTAATTAAGCGACGGCCAATCCAGGACTTGGGTAGCAATTGCTGTATGGGGTCGAGCATAAACGGAAGAAGAACGGGTTGCAAATTCTGATCCCTGTACTGGACAGCATTTAAGTTCCCTTGGACAACAAGAGGAGAACGTCCATGTGCACAAAAAGAACCCCAAACCATAACTTCTCTGACGCATACTTGAGCGTAACGTTCACCTCGTCTGCGGTACACTCGGGCCCTGCCATCGGCAAATCTCAAAGTGAATCGAGATTCGTCACTAAAGACAACCGAATTTCACTGTTTTTGAGTAAATCTTTGTGTCTTGTGGCCCACACAAGTCGGTTACGGCGATGAAGAGGTGTCAATATTGGCCTATTATAGGGCCTCCGAGCTCGAAGACCAGCAGCCTGCAAGCGATTTCGAACAGTTTGTGCAGTTACCCTTCCACCAAACATCTCTCTACTTGTGGAGGTTGCAGTGACAAATCTGTTTCTAAGATGACGTAATCGTATTGCTTGATCTTCCTGGAGTGACGTCACACGTGGCGCCCCCGCCCTTGGGCGGTCGGCAATAGTTCCAGTTTGAAGCACTCTCATTCTAAGATTAATTATTGTCTGGCGTGAACAATTAAAGGCTCTTGCAACAGTGACCACAGACTGACCAGCATAGAGCCTACCTATAGCACGTAGACGTTCTACATTTGAAAGGCGCGGCATTTTCTAACAAAGATGAAAATAACAATTTTAATTTGTTTTTCCAGTTCAAGTTACGTGTGCGTGTTCAGTTTAAGCAAACTTGCATCGATTGACCTCACGAGTTTGTGTTTGCGCGTGTTTTTCAGGTTTTTCATCTTTATATGCTCAAAAGTCACGTGATCCACGTGACTTTACAATTTTATGAAATTAAAGGCTTCTTACTACTTACTATCGTTAGAAACACTTTAAAATTTATTTGACTTACCAGAAAAAAAATTTGTTGAAATACATCAGTGTCAAGTTTTTAATTTGGCTGAGTATATTATGCAATACTATGAACTATTGTTTCACACAATGCTCCCAAACGCAAAAAATATCGGCCCGTGTGCACAAAAAAGAACCAATTGCACGAGATGCACATGAAAAACCCAATATTCACGTGCAGCATTGTGCGTGAGCCCTTTAAAAGCATGTTTTCAACTTAATGTGCAGTACATGAACTGTGAAACGTCAATCTGTCGTAATTTGTTGTTGGACGTGTGAAGGAATCGAGCTAGAGATGCCGAGACTTACTGAAAATCAACGGAATGAAGCCATGGGAATGTCCCGGGCTGGCATGTCTACACGTGCTATTGCCAGACACTTCAGTTGTCATCAGTCAACTATTGTAAGGTTGGTGGAACGTGTTCGAGTTACTGGATCAACACGTGACCGTCGGAAGACAAGGACCAGTAAGTGTTAACACCGTAAGACGTCGTCTAAGAGAAGTAGGACTCCGTGCACGACGACCTTATGTTGGAGCTATCCTCAGGGATCATCACCGTCAGCGGCGTTTGATATGGGCTCAAGGACACCAGACATGGAGAAGAGTAGACTGGCAAAGTGTGCTCTTCAGTGATGAGAGTCGCTTTCATCTTTATCACGCTGATGGCCGTCAACGTGTGTGGAGACGTCTTGGGGAACGTCTTGCAGACTGCTGCGTCTTCGAAACGAATCGTTGGGGTGGGGGAAGTGTAATGGTGTGGGGATAATGCACGTACGCATACCGCCCGTTTTAGTATTGACTACCTGGCTGCTAACAACATCAATGTCTTGGACTGGCCAGCCATGTCTCCGGACATGGCACCGATAGAACATGTCTGGGATGAGATTGGACGTCGTCTGTATCGGAGACCACAGATGCACACCATTGCTGCTTTAGAAGCTGCTCTTGTCCAAGAATGGAACAATTTGCCCCAGGCCTTCTTTCAAACATCGGTTAATTCCATGCGACGTCGCTGCACAGCGTACGTAAGAGCCCGTGGAGGACACACGCGCTACTGACATCTGTGTCGTACTTTTGGTTTTGACTCCTCTGACTTTGTACCGTTGATTACAGATTAAACATCCATAAGTGTACAAATGTGTTGTTATTGACGTGTTCCCATTTGAATATTGTTCACAGTAAGAAGCAAAATAAATAAGATATGTTTACAGGATCATTTTGTTATACGAAAAATTAAGTGATGCGTTTTCCATGGCGTTATGTCCTGCCAGTTTTTATACGCCCACATTTTCATGTGGACGTATTATGCCGTTGCCCCTGTCCGTTCGTCCGTCCACAATTTGTTTGTTAACACTCTACAGGTCACAATTTTATCCGATTTTGACGAAACTTAAAGACCACATAAGATGCCCAATTGTTTTTTTCGCTACGTGTAGCCAATAGTTACTATATCCACTTTACGGCAAGCTCACGCCAATCTGATTAAAATTAAAATTGAAATATAGGTCTATCTCCCAAAGATCTCGGTTCCTTTCGATATTGACATGTATCGGACCATAACTTCATGGATTATGGATTGTACGAAAAATCACGTTTTTAGCTTGTGGCCATTCTGAGGTCACGATTATCATCCGATTTTGATGAAACTTGAAATGCATGTTTATAACCTAAAGATCTTGGTTTTTCCGAGATTCTTAACTTCCTGGATTATGGCCCCTGATTGTTCGAAAAATCGCATTCTTAGCTTGCGGGTTCTCTAGAGGTCACAAATTTTTTTTCCCGATTTTAAAAACCGTTTAAATATATCACCATTCCACCATAATGAAGGTTGAATTCGAATTTCGGGAAAATCGAAATGAAACTGTCCGACAAAATGGCCACTTTTTGTACGCAAATTGTGTAAAAGTATGTAATACGAAGGTTGTGGACCCTCTAAGACTGAGGTCACAATTTTTTCTGATTTTGATGAAACTTAAAACATATCTTTATATCCCAAAGATCTCTGTACCTTTTGATATTTGCGCATTTCAGACCATAACGTACGTAATTCTACAAAGCTAAATTTCTCCCATTATGAAACGACCTGTTTCATGGTCTGTCACTCGTCGCAGTTGTCTAATACCTGGTGTAATTGTAAGCCTCGAGTAGGTGATTTCCAGTAGCAATTCCTTTTCCGAATCTGGAAAGTATTGTTTTCAAAAAATGTCAAATTTTGCTACAAAATGAGATTTTCTCGTGATTTTTTGTTTTTGACCAAAAGCGCCAGGGCTCGAGGACCAACTATTAATGATGTGAGCCATACCATTCTCCTGTGCTATCGGTGTCAAGTATATTTCCACAGATCCTACTTCCATCAAAATGACGGCATGTTAAAGATCTCCTGACATGGAAATATAAATAAGAGTAGGTGTCACAAAATTTCCCTAAAAGGCATATTAGCCTAAGGTGCAAAAATGTAGAGCGTTGGCAACACTCTCCCCGCCACCACCAAAGTAGAAAGTAAGTACCCCCACCACCGCACACACTTTTAAATTTAAAGTAATTTCATTGTTTTGTAAACTATCCATGTGTATTAGGTCGACCAAAATATGTCTTTTACCCAGAGCGGCACACCACGAATATGCTTTCTGTAAATTATCAGTCAGATATGAAATGGAAGGAGTTTAACGTCCTACTTTTCTGCACCGCATGGGCTGGTGACAGGCATTCGCGATTCAATGTGTTACAGAATACTTTTATTTCGAATTCCAAAAGTCAAGGATTGTTTTACGTGTACGCCAATGTATACATCGAGCTTTGGTTTTCCGTACCACCTGAATAACTGGACACTGACAAAGTGGAACCACGTAAAAAAAGAAATTCGAAGAACGATCTGAGCCAGCAAAGGGGGGGGGGGGACCTTACACGAGGCTTCCTGATTAAGGAGTCTGTGCCTTACTTGCTGAGCCACCGCGGCACCCAAATTATCAACCAGAATATTACTTCAAACAAACAGATGAAACGGGTTGTTTATATTAATTTTGTAATTATTGAAAGGATAATATATATTATGATAAACTCGCAAGTCAGCTTTTGTGTTCATATTTTGGAATTGGAAACATCGTAAGTACAACATTCCCCTATATTTAAATTATGCCACATTAATTTTCTTAGAATCTTACAAACAACAAATCAAAGCTATATTTGAGCAACATTATGTGTAAAATTTAATACTAGCCAAGAATGCAATTAAACCAAAATGTTTTTTGTGTTTTTCTAAAAAAAATTATGAAAAATGACTTGCGAGGTTTTCCCATGTCACCGACGATATATAACTTCGATAAAAAAAAAAGTAGATTTGCTGCCATGTTGAATAATTGGATTATGGGACACTTGCCGAAGTAACCGGCTCCTTGGGGCAGGTTACTGCGGCCTGGCGCGCGTAAGCCGTTTAAATGGCCGAACGCACGTGTGGAGACTAGAGTAAGCACGGCGCTAGTAATCGAACGCACCCAATATAATTGACTGAAGTGACGAGTGATAACAGATACACGGGCGAATTTCTGCTTACTAATAATTCCTTCGAAGATCAAAAGTTATGCGAGACAGTGAGAGGATATCTGATAATTCAAAAAAGTAATTGAATGTCACTAGATAAGGGGAAAACGAGAAAGAAAGAAATAGTCCGTACATTCCCTTGTTTTTATTCATTGTATACCTAATAAAACATGGTAATGCACGGACTTTTTTAAAAAAAAAATTTCAGTTTCGCCCCCCCCCCCTCCTCTGAAAAAATTGTCGACCATAAAAACATTAGATATACTTTGTCCGTCAATTTTACAGCATCCCTGAGAACACTTCCCGTCCCACCCCCTCGTTGCTCTGAGCTATAGTTACCGCCCTGATTGTAATACCACAGAGCCATACAAATATTTACGTTCTTATCTTAACGTGAAAATATGGGATCCTAATATAAGTATGGCGATTGTTTTGGCCTTTCCCTTTTTTATTATTTAATTATTTATGTAGTTTTGTAATCGAAGTTCAGCTTTAAGCATCCATGTTTGTCACGCGACTGGACTGTCGTAAAACCAGTCAATCTGAGGTGGGTTCCATTTCAGCCCGTATTTGTCTTTAATCGCTGTCCATTTACGGTAATTTACCATACACATCGACGTATATTTTGGGTTCATCCTATGCCTACATATTTTTCCGCCGTTTTATCACAGAGTCTGTTATAAGTTTATGTCTCTCACTAAGGGAAATATGATATTGCTCAGAAGTTGCAAACCCAAATCATGAGAAAGGCAGCGGGGAGCATCTTTTGTTTTTTATACCTCGACATTTTTATGTGGAGGTATTATGTCGTTGTTTGTGTACACTCTACAGGTCACAATTTTTATCCGATGTTTATTAAGGAAACTTGAAATAGGTATATCTCCCAAAGATCTCGGTTCCTTTCGATATTGGCATGTATCGGACCAGAACTTCATGGATTATGGCCCCTGACTGTACAAAAATCACTCTAGAGGTCACAATATTTTGATCCGATTTTGATGAAACTTGAAATTCATGTCTATAACCCAAGATCTTGTTTCTCCTTTCGATATTCGAGCATATCAGATTGTAACTTCCTGAATTATGATTGTACGAAAAATCGCGTTTTTCGATTGCGGTCCCTCTAGAGGTCACAATTTAAAAAAAAAGTTTGAATATATCACCGTTACACCCTAATGATGGTTGAGTTTGAATTTTGTGAAAATCGGACCAAAACTGCTGGACAAAATGGTCACCCCTCTTACGCAAATAGTGTAAAAATATGGTATATTAAGGTTGTCGCCACAATTTTGATCCGATTTTGATGAAATTTTAAATTCCTGTTTACATCACAAAGATCTTGGTTCTTGTCGATATCCGAACGTAACTTTCTGGATCATGGCCCGTGATTGTTCGAAAAATTGCGGTGTTGTTTAGGTTGTTCTCTATCCATCTTTTGCAAAATGTGGGCGTATCTTGCCTGGCAACCGCTGGTAGGATGATATTAATGTTCCAGATGCTTAAAATTGGATCCATTATTGTGAATTTTGCCCCCCCCCCATCGGCTGTTCACTGTTTGTGTATTTACTTTAGATGTTTATGGACTAAATCCAATAACAATTACAAATATTCTCTGCCAGCCCACCTTTTTTCGACTATCACAGCCCCACACTGGCAGGAATTTAACATGCATACTCTGTTATATGCTTATAATATAAAACACCTTTATATAAATACTCAATTTATTATATTATGTTTATAATACAGGACTCTACATGTAACCCACTCGGCAAACCTCAGCAGATTCCAGTACCCTACATCTAGCTGTATGACGAAGTACGCCATTGGAACTACTTTCAAGTTCCGGGATTACCAACAGCGTTTCACATGACGACGCCTTGTGAAAGATGTTTTATCATACAAATATTTCAAAGTCTGAAGCTGTTTTTCTTACAAGTTCATCCGATTTTCTTCAAACAAGGACAACTTTGCACTGACAATTCTACACACGCTTTGAACGACGCAATTTTGATAACACCTTTTTAAAAGCGGCAACTTTTCCTAATAAGTAAACCGGTGCCGCATCGCAATTGTATAGGCGTAGGTACATATCACTTACCTCCACACAGCCGAGGCTAGATGTAGAGTAACGGAATCTGTCGAGGTTTGCCGAGTAACGGAAACCGCCGATTAAAATGTTATGTCAGTTACTGTATTATGAGAATTAATATTAATATTAAAATATCACCTTATAATTCATATATTTGTATACAAACAAAACGTATTTACCATTCCTATATAAAAAAAATTCATATTCTATTAAAGGACAAACCAGGGTTGGAATTTCAAATTTACCTGATGTTTAACGAACTCCAGAAAAATCTGCGCACAGCAAGCAATATTTGGTAGCCAATCCATCGCCGACAAACCATCGGGGTTATAAAATCTTTTCTAAAGGGGATTTTTAGTTTAAGTTATTGATTGAATCCATTCCGTTTAGTTTTATTTAAACGAATAATTGTATGGGTGAACGCTAGAAATGGTTACACTACTGATGTCTTTCGTTTTGCCTCCAGCCACAGTAGTGGTTGGTTACAGGACAAGTTTTGTAATCATTTGATGACAACAAAGTTAGTGGATTAACCTACCGTACTTTCCAATTAAACGAACCCCAAATTCTACTTACAAAGTATAATTATATTAGAAATGGTTCCACTACTGATGTCTTGCGTCTTGCTCCAGCCATAGTAGTGGATCGTCCCAAGGCCTTCCTTTGAGCAAGTTTTGTAGTCATTTAACTACAAAAAGTTATTAGCCTATAACTCCCTCAATTTCGAACTGTACTGTACATAGCTTAATATATAATAAACTAATTACCATTGAAATAAAGATAAAACCTTACCGCATAAGTATATGATTTGATTCAAACCAAAAGCTATGCGAAATTTCTGTTCATTTTAAAATGGCCGCCGAACCAGAATCACGCGATTTCATGTTACTCGAAAATACAGAAAAAACTGTTCAGTTAGGTAAGATTAAGATTTCAGTGTTCCACTCTTCGCTATTTGTAACATAATTACTTATTTCCATGCAAACTGTGATGATAGTGTTGAAAATTTACAACTGAACCTAATTATATGTGTGGAGAATTTTGCACTTGAAGCTATTTTACCTGCGCAAAGCCTCGAAGATTAGGCGATAGGAAAATGTCGGTGACGAGAAATTGGCGTATACGTTGATAGCTTTGTCCGACAGATTGTCAGTTCCAACCCTGATTTAGACAACTTAAATTCATATGTTAATAAATTATATCAATTAATATGCTTGAAATACATGTACGTATAATGTATAAATAAAAGATATGTTGCCAGGCAATGAAACATACAACCACAGCAGCTAAGTCGTCCGATAGACCACAAGGGTTGTCGCTAATTTTTCTTTTGTCGGTAATGAAAGCCTCTACAAAACACAAAAAGCTAATTAAGAGTTATCAGAAATTATTAGAATTTATTTGGCTTCTAGTTCTGCCCGATGCTAACGTTTAATTTAAAAACATATAATATCATGGATTTACTTGTCATCGGAATTCATTGCAATTCAAACGGCTCCTTTGTTCAATGAACATAAATACTGTGACTGTGTATACATTTAAAGTTAATCGGATGATAAATATTGTATCTAGAACCACGGCAAGACTTTTCAATATGATCAAGGGCCATTACTCTGGAAGTTCTTTTTGAAAATCATTGAAAATCCACAGACGTCTTTGTCTCGCGACCTTAAAAATAAATTGTGCATCAATTTAAAGTCACTCAGATTGAAATTTTAGCCCTATAGAGCGTCCACAAGATTTTTTATAGTGATCAAGCGCCATAACTATGGCAGTAGTGTAGTTATCGGAACTCCTTGGAAATCAATAGGATTCATCATCCTATGACCGTATACACTGTGTATACATTTAAAGTCAAACGGATGTTAACTTTGGTGGTTAATATTAACAAGACTTGTTACCTTGATCAAGGGCCATAGCTCTGGAAGTAATTACGGGCCGACGGACAGGGGTGACGACAATATACGACATTTCAATGCGGGCGTATAAAAATATAGATACAATTTAAAGTCAAAACGTTTTTAAAATATCATTTCTAGATTTAACTAAGTATCACATAATGTTTCAACAACAATTACTGGCTTTGTTTCTTTCTAACTTAAACACGGGGATATCACAATAAATTTTTCTTGATTTCAATTATTTGACTACATTTTCCATATTTCATACATAGGAACTGTAGTTATACAACTTGGAGAATAAAAGCATCAAGAATGATAACTATAGCTACACGTTTTAACGGATGATGGGGAAGGTGTGTGGGGGGAGGGTCTTATTCTTTCCAGAAGAGTTGATACCACTTGTTACTAGCCTCATCTGAATGAGCCCAAAATGTCCGTTGAGCATTATTTATACGTAGTTATCAGTTTTGTGTCTATCGTCATATTGAGTTTAAAACGAAAAATGAAATGGTTTAACGGCTTACTGTTCTGCACCGACTGGGCTAATAAAGACGGGCATGCGCTATCAGGTTGCTATAGGAGAAATTTTGCCGCGGACAGCGGCGCTATGGCCTACTCTTATATCGAATTCCAACTGTCAATTGTTATTTTATGCACAAGCCTATGTGTACACGGGACCCCGGATTTTCGTTCCACCCGAACGGTTACAATCATTGTTTACATAAGACGTTATACATTCGGGCTAAATGACGAATTTTACTTATTTTATTACCCATTTACACTAAATAGGAAATGATTTTAACCTACAAATAATTCAAACGTCTTTATTTATTTTTCTAATAAATGAAAAAAATGTTTTAGAATTTAATTTGACGGAAGAAAAAAAGTTAATATTTGGGACTCATTAAGTCGCATCGATGTCATCTTTATCAGTGATTGTAGCAGCCTAGCGAAAATTCACTGCTGATCAGTGTGGAACGGCTACACGCTGTCCCTCGCAAGGCCCTATTTACTACATGTCTGCCAATTGGGAATCACGCCGGAAAAAATCTGATGAACTTTCTTGGTCAACATAGGGATCAACGTCTTACTCACTGAGCCACCGTGGCTCCCTGAGTTTAAAACATATGAAAGAGTTTTGCCATTCATCCCTATAGCGTCTTGTTCATGTTCCATTCGTTCTTTGTATTGTTGACCATGAACAACAGCCGAAAGCTCCCATAAGAAAGGTGACTTTTAATTAATGTGGAATATATATACCCATATATCTAAAAAAAAAAATATGTAATAAATACATCACCTCATTTTTATGGCGGTTAAATCTTGTAACAAAATTATTAAAAATGTACACAATTCACAAGTATCTGATTAACAAAAAGCCCCCAAAATAACACTGTTAAACAATATGTTCTAGGAAATTTGTGATTAAGTGAGATCAAGATTGGATAAATATTGTTTATAAAATAAGCTATATGTTAACACAAAAATATAAATAAATATACAGCACTAAAACTATTATGTTGATTAGATTTAAATTGTAACAAAAATTGTAAACTGGTCTATTATTACTGTAATTTAGATCTATGACGCGTTTCTTTCATAAGAAGGTGGGGGATATAAATAGCTGTGTGTGTGAGAGAGAGAGAGAGATTTTATTTTCATGTAACTTTTGACGACTTAAAATAAAAATACTGTATATGAGAGGGGGTGGGTGGAGAGAGGCTAATATAATATGGTATACCTTTAGCCTGGGGTCCAAGTCTCGATGCTTGACAGACATTATGATTAAGAAAAAAGACCTCCCTAAGACGGTAACGCAAAATATTTCTAGAGACAGGGTAGAGAGATCTTTGTTTGTAGCAAATCATTAAGAAGAATTTATCAAATCCAGAAAACCGATTCGAGATGCTTCGAATTCGCCTACGGTATGGATAGAAAGTGGTGATAATTCACACAGAATTGAATAGTAAATGTTTTATGATCGACATTTCTTTATAACATGAATGTTTTATGAACCACACCCCTAAAACAATTACTTTTGTGATAAAGGAACTTTATACCAGTATGAAAATAAGTACATCTATCTATGGTATACACACAATTCATCAGTAAGTAAGCGTATGGTATTAATGAACATGCCCAAAATATTTTTCTATACTCTTCAAAAAAAGTAGGGGATATTGAAATGCAAATACCTATGCAGGTTGCGATATGATAAATAGCCATGGACATTTGACATGCTTTGAGAGTATTTTCACAGATGAAGAACTTATCGCCCCAACAGAACCACTGAGCTGCACATGCGACACGAAATAGCGCCATACACGTGGGAGGGGTTTATTGTCAAATTTGATGAAAAGGAAGGGTTGGTGAAAACTGCCGCGTGCTGGTTTATCTATCCATGTTTGCTTTCCTATCGGTTCTTGCATACGATTTACTGTTTAGCGTATCTTGCTTTAGTGTGTTACGTTTAATTTGATCGGGAGACGTGTTCGTCGACCTCAACGTCAACCGACAACACTGCAAGAATTGGTCGTGGCACTGCAAGAGGAGTGGGTCAGATTGCCCCAAATCGTGATTGGATGGTTGATTACAGATTAGGAGCATGCCACGGCGAATTGCTGAATGTCTGAGGATTGGTGGAGCAATTACTCATTATTAAGACGGTGTATCTCTTTGCGAGTGAAGTGGGCCGTCAGGTAAGCCGCCCATATGAACTGTTTATGTACATGTGTAGGCAATTGGCCCGTTATTAACATACACGGGTTTCCTCTAATAAAAGCATCAGAGCATTTCCTCAGTGTGGCATTGTTTCTGAATATATTAGTGGACATAAATATTGTACTTTAGAGCTTTAGTTAAAGCCAAGGGTCGTATGTATTGTATAGTATCGAATCTAGTAAAGCATTTGATTGCGTTAAGTATGATATTTTGATATATGCTGTTAAAAATGGCGTAAGTAACTATATAGTTGGTTTCGTCTTCTCAGGAATTACCAATGAGCTGAAACTCGCCTGTGTAGCTGTTACCATACCACTCTCCTTTCCAGTCGGCCAAATCATAGCAAAGATTTTTATGCTACAATTATATTTGGAATGTGTTTAACCAGTTCTATCACAAAATGTAAAATAGTTGGATACCAACATTGTCCTTTATTCACACCGCTCTGTCTGTTTTGTTTATTGTGTAATCAGGAACCTTATTAACTAGGTACTTTTTTTTAAAATATGTCAATTAATTTCATTTCTAAACATGACACATCGTTTTCGCTTTCTGTCTACAAAAACAAACAAATATTGTGGATCCTCGTTAACGCCCATTCCTTGTCAAAGCCATTGTCATATTAACATTAACATAATATTATTATTACCCATGACTTAAAACCTCACTGGATGGCCGGTGATTGCGTTGATTATTATGTCGCATGGTATATGACGTCAAAGTTTCGTCTTAATGTTAGTAGGCCTATGATAGTACAAATAAATCAAAATCAGACAGTCTATACAAACATGTTCACATACAAACACGACACCATGGTCACTAGTTTATAAAATTAGGTTAATTCATTCGCACCATATAAAAATATTTGATATCAAATAACAATATTTGTGTCCATTCACAGTTTTTAAAACGTTTCAGTTAAGTTCACTTTACAACACACTCCTCAAAGATAACTGTCCGGTTGCCAACTGCCGCGTTTTGGACAAAAGAAACTTTTCATAATTCCCGCGCAGGTTCTTTGTGATCGAGCCTCATCTTTTGGCATGTCCGATATCGTGTAGTTCGTTCCATTCGCCTCTTTCTCTTTTTTCGCCTTTTTCTCTTTGTCCTTTCTATTCAGAGATTCGTTACTGTTAAACCTCGGGGGCTGACGAAACAATTCCGTCCCCTGACCCTCTCTCATGGACTGACGATTTTCTGCGAAAACTTTCCCAAAGTCCTCCTCGTTGTTGATACTAATGTCGACGTCTTTCATCTCATAGTCCATGTCATCATCGCTTAAAGCATTAAATGTGTCTATTTCAATGCCTTGCGGTTCTGAGTTGATTTGAATTGTTGGAGGTGCCGAATTGACTTGAATTGTTGGAGGTTCCGAATGGACATGATTTGATGGAGGTTCGGCATTGGTGTCTGCTACTTTTACAGATTCAATAAAATCAGAGTTATCTACTATTTTTAAAGTTGTATCGTCTGCAAGATTAGTGTTGTTACTGATTACGTCGGGTGAGTCTCCTATCACATCCAAGGTTTCTGATTTTTCTTCACCCTCGCAAGAACCACCGGTTAAACTGGCACCAAATGAACCAAGGAAATCCGAGCTGCCCATTTTATCCTTCACCATATCTACAATACCGTCGTTGTTTATCGCAGAATCACTGGCATCGGTGATTTTGTTTTTTACGGTTTCTACTGCATTCGTTTCTTTTGCTTTATGTTTAATCGTTCCCATAATTCCTTCGTCGCTGGCGCCTTCCAGTTTGTTCGTGATGGCATCTCCTGCGTAATGCAAACCCGTGGAACGAACCTCCATGACCTTTTCTTTAATTGTTCCGAATACACCCCCCTCTGGGGTGTCTACAGTAGCACTATTGTCCTCGTCTGTAATTTCATGTTTCATATCATCATTTCTGTTTTCTGAAGTTGGGTTAATATTAATATCCGTACCAAAGGAAGGAGTGTTCGCTGGGTCATCCGCTATATTTGTAAATTCCTCTACGTCATCCCTTACCCTGTTGAAATCATCAGGAACCTCACTTCCTTCCACTTCACCCATTCTCCAATCTCCAGTCACGTCGGTTCTCACATCACCCATAACATGCTCGCCATTTTGAATAAAACCACCGGAATCTGCAAGCGGGCTGTTTAATGCATCAGAAATCCCAAACTCATTATCTTCAGAAATCTGGTTGATGCGATTGACTTCTTCGGATATTAAACCGTCTGCTATAACCGTGTCGTTGTTATGATAACCTGTATTAACGGATATTTCAGAATCTACTGGTGGCCGCATTCGGTCGTCAACATTCGTTACGATTTCATGATCTACTTCCGGAACACCGAAAAAATTATCTACCTCAGAATCTTCTAAATCTTCATCAACATGAGAAACCACCGTTGTTCCAATACGTTCATTTACAAGATCAACATTATCTAGATCCCAATCACTCGGTAATGTCCGTTCGATGTTATTTGTCAAATCGTGTACTTCCGGATTAACGTTAATGTCATCGGAAATGTCATTCGTGTTGTATGCATATGTAACTGTTTTTCTTACTCGAATATTCTCGTCGCCATTGTCACTGTCTCCGTCTCTTATATCACCTAATGAATCAAAAGTCTGGATAACTTCGTCTTCGCCGTCCGACATTTTAGATGTGAAATCATCGACGCCATTTTGAATTGTCCTTGTTGTCGTAGTCGTCACTTCGGTTCTTATATTCTGGAAATCCATGATTATTTAATTACCTGTAAGTAGAAAAAGAAGCTATTGTGAGTTAAACAAGCATACCCACGGCATACCGGGAAACTAGATGTAACCATAAAAGTAAACCCTAAAAGCTCGCACCATTCTTATATATCTTAGAACAAGGGTGTTCCCCTATCCCACACTTGCATGTTATATCAAATCTTCAAAACAGCATTTTGATCCAGTGGCGAGTCACCCCCCCCCCCCGCCTATTATAACAGTATAAAAAATTTACTTAATATTCTGTTTCCATGAATTGTGTCAATTTAAGCTTTTTATTGGTTGCATTACGGTGAGGTCATAGCTGATGAAATTCGATGTTATTATATTTGGCTGAGATATGCGCCACAAATCACCTTTGACATTATTTCAAATACCCCCCCCCCCCACCAAATATTATTATGTCTCATACCGGAATTCTAGTGTTTACAATATCATGCATTAAATGCTCCGAACCCATATACTTGCACGACAACAAAAAATGGTGGGCCAAGGCGTACTTCAATTACGAATTCCTTTACTGTGCCATTTTTTAGAAATCAATAGCTCCTGTCAGATGTTTAAACATACACCACAGCAAATAGAGCTATCTAAATAATATAGAAATTATACGGTGGTTTAACCTCTAGAGCGTCACAAGATTTTTCAAAGTGATCAAGGGCCATAACTTTGGCAGTAATCATCGGAAATCGTTGAAAATCAATAGACTTTTTTCTTTCATGACCTTAAACACTGTGTATAAATTTAAAATCAATCGGATATTAACTTTAGCCTCTAGACCATCCACAAGATTTTTTGAAGTGATCAAGGGCCATAACTCTGGAAGTAATTATGGAAATCGCTGAAAATCAATAGGCTTCTTTGTCTCATGACCTTAAACACTGTGTATTAATTTAAAGTCAATCGGATATTAACTTTGGCCTCTAGAGCGTCCACAAGATTTTTTGAAGTGATCAAGGGCCATAACTCTGGCAGTAATAATCGGAAATAGCTGAAAATCAATAGGCTTCGTCGTCTCACGACCTTAAACACTGTGTATAAATTTAAAGTCAATCGGATATTCACTTTGGCCTCTAGAGCGTCCACAAGATTTTTTGAAGTGATCAAGGGCCATAACTCTGGCAGTAATAATCGGAAATAGCTGAAAATCAATAGGCTTCTTCGTCTCACGACCTTAAACACTGTGTATAAATTTAAAGTCAATTTGATATTTACTTTGGCCTCAAGACCGTCCACAAGATTTTTTGGAGTGATCAAGGGCCATAACTCTGGCAGTAATAATCGGAAATAGCTGAAAATCAATAGGATTCTTCGTCTCACGACTTTAAACGCTGTGTATGGAATTTGGAATTTGGCATTTGGAATTTGGAATTTGGAATGAGTCGGGCTTTCGTGTAGGTAAACTAACACCAATTAGTTGTGTAAAATTACAATTTATTTAAATTCTAATTTGTTTAATTGAGGGGAGATGCCAATTTGCTATTTTATTGGTAAACATGAATTTGTAATTTGGAATTTGGAATTTCGCATTTGGAATTTGGAATTTCGCATTTGGAATTTGGAATTTGGAATGAGCCTTCTGGGCTTTCGTAGATATATGGTTTATAATACATGTAATAAAAATAATTATTTATTCACCATATATAATAGCTCTATAGGGGGCTTTACAAAAATTAGACATGGGGTTTATATTTCTTCAAAGTAAAGATGCGTCACTTGAATTTTATTTCGCTAAAATATCAAATTTCTCACCGCTTAATCCAGGCTAATATATACTCAGGTTGATTATTTAACATTTGATTAAAAAACAAAATCAAATTACCAACTCTAGATAATGTCCAGGCTTGAATTCAATCGGATTCAAAACCGGCCTAAATAAATTTTCGCAGACAACAAAATGGTGGCGGGCTTACTGAACAGTGAGCAGCATAGATCGATGAAATTTCAATTCGACATATTTCTGTAAATACTGAACGGAATTGATCCACATTTGGACTGATATTCCTATTAGAGATTCACCTTTCACAATATTGTATAGGAATATAGCGCTAGCTTTAACATAGAGTTAAACATTAAAATGTAGAATTTAGGTTATGGCGGCCATTATTGGGTTGAATATCATATTTCGATATACCTTTGAATGAGGATTGTAGGTAAGATCACATGGGTTATGACAGCCATTATTGACAAACCTCAATACACCTTTAAATCTAAGTGGAATCACATTGATTTTATTAAAGGATATAACGGACATTATTCATATACTGTTACTTACGTATTTTTATTTTAAATCGTCAATAGTTACATGAAAATAAAATTTCTCTCTCTCTCTCTCTCTCTCTATGGACTGCACAATACATTGATGTACGACTATGTTGGAAATGAGAGATTTTATAACATTTTATATCCAGACAAACTTATGTCTTTTACCATTTGACCCTAAACGACACAAGACCTTAATGCATTCTTTGATATATTTTGAAATATGGCACATGAATAACGAGAAATCAAATGCATTGATCAATGTAAGATATTGGTTTATGTAGGATTATAATGTTAATATATATATTGAATAAATATTAAGAGTAAAGATAGACATTTTCATGTATTTTTCATTCAACTGCGTGTATTTGTTATGTGTGTTTTTGTAAAGGGATATAAAAATCACCATCAAATACAATATATCTATTATATAAAACTAGTCAACTGTGTATCAAATCAATTCGATATACATTAATCGCTCTAAGTCAACAATCTTCACCAAAATATATGCACGTTAGTATGTATACTGACAATCTGTATAGTCATTTTAATGACAAGGGTAAGAAAAAAAAATAGTAAGTGACATCAAATGTCAGTTAACCCTTTAAATTGATATTTTTCTCTTGTGAATAGGTTAAATTTAGCTCGCAAGGCCTTTGACTGTAAAAAGTTAATGCCCTGAGGCTATGTGATAATTCTCAAAGAATTGCAAACGTTTTATTTTGACAGCCAACAAGTGTTATGGTAACCATGTCTATAGGCATAACCTGGTGACTTTGTCTCTTTTATCAGGTCGCTGGACCGCGTGATCAATAGGCCTTAATTATTTTTTGAGTCACAAAATACGATTAAGCAAATTGATGAACACTCCGTAACAGGGAAGACAGTTGGGGGCTGTATCATACGGTCTGTCATTGAGTCAACAGGCGGGGTTTCGATTCCCCAGTTGTACGTGACAAGGAGTAGGGTCTCCTGTCCAACCTCGTCGGTTTTCTCCGGGTCCTCCGGTTTCCTCCCACAGCTAAAGACCCCTACGCGCAAGCGAATTATGGAAATAAAATTGAACCATATGTTAGTCCCGAAATGACCTAGTTTGTGTCGAGTGGACGTTAAACTCCATTTCTCTCTCTTGTAAAGATATTTTGCTGAAATGCATTTTAAAGCACAGCCAAAAAATACAAGGGCAGTGACAGTACCGACGGACACTTTCCATATGGTATTTTATAAAATATATAACACAAAAATACTTCTAAATGGTGTTTGTTAAAATCAGTTCCTTTCGATAATTTTATATAAATTCTCACGCCTTTAATTACAGACACTGGCAACTGAATTGTTTTTATACACATTTATTTGAAATGTGACTATGTATCACGACTTAACATGGTTGCCGGTTCGTTGTTTTTCTAAGATTAGTATTTAACAGATAGTTTTTTAAAAAATGCAAGAGAGCATTGTTCAAATTGATAAAATATACGTGTGAACTTCAAATAAAGAAACCTTTTAAACGTCAAGGAAGGGGTACAATTATATTTGTTTGTATGTTAACAAATTAAAAACAAGATTCCAGGAATTTAAAGGCTGGCTATTATGTCACCTTATACAGTAGTTGAATAACCATACAGCTTAGTTTGTTTTCCTTCAATGGATGGTTAGTAAAAAAATTAAACGCCATTTCACCGACATTTAAGGCCTCGTCCATCGACGATTATCCAGTCCAAAATCTTAATGGGGAAACAAAATCTCCTTTACTTTATACATTCAATATACATTATGCAAGATCTAAATCTGCCTTTAGGCCTGAAATGTTATTTAAATTATCAATTAGACATTAATTAACTTATCCAGACCATAATCAACTCCCGATGTCATCGCCAGCCCGCGATGTTTATTGGATTAGGTTCCGATTTGTTGTTCGACTTTCATTCATGATTTAATAATGAATTGGATAATCGAGACTATGTCTTTTTATTGTACCGAAATTTCCTTTACATTATCTAGTTTTTAACTATTATAGTGAGAACTGCCAGCTCTTTAACTAATCTCCCATAATGTATCTTTAAACATACATTATACAAGAGCTAAATCTGCCTATTGTAGGCCTTTCTTTGGGCCCGAAATGAATTATAAACTATTGATTAGACATTTATTAACATGACAAGACCATAAACAACTCTCGATATCATCTTATGTGTCGGATTTTCACTGAATTTAAATCCGATTTGCTGCTCACCACTCATTTATGATTTAACCCAAAAATGGATATTCGAGACAATGTTTTTTTTATAGTACCAACTTTAGTAAAGATGATCGAGGCTAGGCCTAAAATTCATACGCTAATATCTCCGATCAGAGTGGAGCAATTTGACTGAAATTTTCAGTATATTCCCTTTACATTATCTAGTTTATTACTATTATAGTGAGAACTGTCAGCTCTTTATCTAATCTTTCATAATGCCCCTTAAACCTCTGCGCCTGTATGATATCCGAGTAGTGGCTCAGTATTGTGTTGGCCCGGAATTTTCCGGCGGGGTACTATTCTGTGGTGTAGTGCGTAGGAACACTGCTTAGTCGTACGGATGACACCAAATACCGTGTATACCTTGGCGTGCACGTAAAAGAACACTTGACAGTAGAAGAACAATGTACAGTTAGGTATGTGTGCATATTCACAGAGAAGATGCACAATTGAAATAGAGAAAACCGAAAATATTTATTGAAAGACGAAGTGGGATTT